ACGTTAAACTAGGACATCGATAATCGGTTTTGCTTGTTTGAAGATATGTATTTTTTAATTGGAACTGTAACTGGATACAGAGAACTTTTAGGTGCTTGGGGATAACAATGCTTGACAGAATTATAACATGTACAGCAAGAATGAATTTACGTAAAAAAGAATAAAACACAATACATCAAACATTCTTGTCTGACAGATACATGCATGTTACAAGACGTTTTGTCTGAAATTTTCCCAGACAAAAAATCATCAGGAACTAAACTAATGATATGGAAGGTTGTCCTTATTTTCTATTTCTATTAGTGCGGCACCTTCTGCAGTCTTTAATTAGTTTCGCATAAATCCGGCTTGCAGAAGTAAAACCATATGTACGAAACGTTTAGGAGTTCGAGTTCAACAATGTATGAGAAAGATGTGCAGCGAGAATCAGGCCATTTCATAATTGAAACCACGTATACAAAACCTTAAAGAGGTAGAGTCCATCAATGTCTGGCAGGCTAACAACATATACAGCGGCAGTATCACGTCATGCCGTATATAAATATACATAAAAAAGATATTCAACAAACTGTCTTGTCTGACAGATGCATGTATGCTACAAGCTGTTTTGTATCAGATTTTCCTTTAGCAGAAAAAACACGAGGTAAACAGATGACGGAAGGTTGACATTTTCTGCTATCTCCAGATGACTAATATATTTAAGTAAAGCCATAAATGTACTGGGAGAACACCAAGATAATTCGTAGTATATGAAGAGCTGCATCTCGGTTCGAACTCGACTGAACCCACATGTACAGAACCCTAATGAGCTCCTGTCCAACAATGTATGACAGAATTACATGTACACCCCCGACAGTTGCATGCATTCCATCCGTCGTAGAATAGGCACACGAGGACACCGAACTCACCGTGGTCTGGGGGTGGCCTAGAACTCCTAGCGACTCCGCTGACGGCGAGGAGGCATCTCTTCTCTTTATACGGGGGTGGTCGGAAAGGTACGCGTGACGCTGACGTATCGTCGGTGCGGGTAACGGTGGCCGTCTGCGATGGGAAACAGCGATATGGCGGAGAGCGGGAGGGTCGCCGACGCGCCGGGACGTGACGGTAGCAGGGTGTAGGAGACGGCGCGCGGAAAGCGTCCCGGTGGAGCGCAGTGGCGTGCGAGAAAGGGCGACCCGTCATTATGGATATTGACTTGGAGGAAAACTCTGCGGATTTTGATAGAGGTGGCAATATTTTATACAGGGTGTTCCAAAAGTCGACGTCGGTCCGAAAACGGGGGATAGGCCGAGTCATCATAGTTATCAGCAAGATATGAAAAAATCCAAGTCATGTACTTTTCAAAATCATAGGCATAAGCAAAATATACACCGTGTGATGATATTTTAGTTCCCATTACTACAAATTCCAATTTATTCTTAGACGGACAGTGTCATTCTACGTAGTGATAGCAGTAACTCTACTTTCATTAATTAGTGCATGTATTTATTAAATTCACAATACATGTTCAAAATGGTTTCCTTCAGCAGCAATAGTGATTAAAGAAAGAAAGTTAGTAGTAGTAGTAGAAAGATTTATTTAGCACATTTGGCTACATAAACAGAATAATTGTAAACAACTTAGAACTAGTAAATTCAAGCCATATGATGTATGATGTAAATGCTGGAAAAACCTGTAATTGTAGATTTCTCAATTTTCCTTTAAATTTTGTCAAAGTTTTCTGGTCTTTTATCTCTGAGTATAATTTATTATATTCAATCAACCCTTGATGGAATAGAGATTTGTAGCATATGTTATACTTTTTGGCCATTAAATGGAAGTCATCTTTATTTCTCGTATTATGTAAATGATGGTCGACACTTGATGATGTTAAATTAGTTAGACTTGATGGAAATATATTATTTTTTACTTTATAAATGAATATCATTACAAGATATTTGATAAAATGTTTTACATTGAGCCATTTTAATTTGCAAGCATTTGCCTAATTGGAGTATATTTATCTTTATCCAGTATTATTTTCATGCACTTATTTTGTAAAATTTGCAGTCTTTCAAAAATGGAATTATTTGCTATATATAGAATAGTCGAACAGTACAAGAAATTTGGAAGAATGATGGTATTATAGATAATTTTTCTGCTATATGAACTCAGACATCCAGAAACTCTCGATAAATATCCCACTTTACTACTAATCTTATTTATAACTTTTTCATAATGAATATCAAAAATTAATCGAGAATCAACAAAAACCCCCAGGTATTTAAAATTTTCTACGAATTCAATATCTTCACCATCAATATTCAGTTGAACATTTGTACATTGTTTTTTTCCAATTAACAAGGCTTTTGTTGGTTGAGGAGCAAGATCGCATCTGGATGATTATGTGCATTGGTATGCATGTGTATAAAATCTGATTATGCTGCCAATGAAATATATCTATTAGCTGTGCCCGACGGATTATTTATATACCCTATTTCACGAGTATCCATCACGCTTTGACGTCTACTGAGGTGAACTGCTCATCAGCAAGTGACATTTTTGTGTTATTCTGCGACGTTGACAATAATGAATCCGGTGTAAATCTAATAAAACTTGTTTGTAGCGTTTTGTTTATTGTTTGAAAATGAACTTTTCTAAATAAAAGAACCGGTAGCAAGTATGACGTTGACGGATCCGTCAGAATTATGTGTCCTGTGCCGATATGGGGAATTTTGAGATAGTACTAGATAATCAGCTGTCATACTCCCGTGATGGATACTCGTGAAATAGGGTATATGTTGTCCTTTCTGAAAACAGGTCATTTTAAAAGTTATAAGTTACGATATTCACTCATCACATATCAAACATTTTCGCAATGGCGCTTAGTTGTATTTTCTATTGACAGCGCAAAATAAATTTTTATAAAATTTAAATGACTGGAAATAAAAAATAATGACATAACCTTTTCACTTTCACATATATTCCTGTCTATATCATATTTTCTCACCTGTCCCTCCACCAACCAGGAATTTTCTATTCTTATCTCTATTCATTTTTTAAATTCAGCAAATTTGCATATGTAATTTACAGAATGGATAAGAAAAAGTGGATGCGCAACTAATTTCTAGCTTTGAATCTCAAGTGTATTTGAGACAAGAATCCAATGGAATTATCATCAATATTGGTAGCACACAAATCCTCACTATGCTCCTATGCATTGCCGTTTTCTTCTAACTATAGTAAATAACTTACCCACATAATGTCACAAAAAACCAATACAATATCAAAAAAATCGACATAATGTCACTTTTCAAGATACGTTATACCCGTGCCGGGCTTCCGATGTTTTTGCGTGGTGTTACTTGGAGCGAATGAATGTAGTGACTTACTAGGTGTATATCCAGAATATGCATTTTCCTGTAATTAAGTGTTACCAGAACAAAAGCATTTTGAAAACAAATAGACTCAAATGAATTTTGAAGTGACTGATTCATATATTAAATCCTCATTATCTTGCTGGAAGATTGATCTTAAGGGCATATTGTCGTCTTCCATATAGGGTAACATGACATGCTTTAATATGTCTGTGTATACAAAGTTATCCATAATGCCATCTATTCTATGTAAAGGTCCCATCCCAAACCCCGAAAAGCACCCCCCTCCATATTTGACAGTGGGTAAAGTGTACTTGGGGTTCAATCTTTGTCCACTAGGTCGTCTAACGTAATGAACACCATCTGATCCAAACATATTGAACTTGGATTCGTCACTGAAACATACCCTCTTCCAGTCACAGATGCTCCAATCAAGATGCAACCGTGCAAATTATAATCTGTCCTTACGGTTTTTCCTCGAGATTACCGGCTTCTTACTCGGGCGACGTGCAAATAACTTCAAATCATTAATCTTCTACTCATAGTTTTCGTAGAAACACTGACCTTTTGTCTCGATTTCGGCTTTTATTTGTCTTGGTGTTTTAAGCGGATCTTTGGACGAAATTACTTTTATTAATCTAACTGATCTAGCATTTAGTTTTCTAGGCCGACCACTTCTCTTAGAGGCTTCCAAGATACCTTTTTGTTTATATTTGTTCAATATTGCCCAAAGTGTTTTACGCTTCAGCTTCAAATTTTTGGCAATGTCGACTTGACGTTGACCATCTTTGTATAACTCAATGATCTTAGTTTTCACATCGAAAGAAATTTCTGGACCACGCGGCATGGTCTTAAAATCACTTATTCTACAATACTTGGTGAACACAAACTAATCCTCTGCTGACACGAAACTGTACTTCACTAATGTTGAAAAGAATTTGTCTACATATTTTTGTCCCTCATAAAAAAGTGCTTATATTCAGACTTGTATTGTGTTCATTGCAGATAATGTAAAAACAAGGATTTTAGTTTTTCTACTAATAACGCATTTGTTCATGGAGCAATGAAGTATGAATTCGTTTTCTAAAGGTATATAGGTAAATCTTCATATCTGTCTATATACCATCCATTACTATAGGTCAAATTATCAATACTTCTAGCAGCGTGGCTTCAAGATAAGATGCTTTTTTACCTACTTTCAAAATTCAACAACAGTCGTCAAGAACGGCAGTTTCAGGCCCTCAAATATGAGCAATTTTCCAGACAAGTGGTGAAAGCGCAAAACAAATGATATGTGAATCTTCCTGTATTTACAATACAGAGTGTTGCATTGATTAAAAACATGTATATTTTGTCCTAGAGCTATGCAACAATCTGTCTACGTTTAAATAATTTGAAAATACGAATCTGTCAGATATCAATCTTGCTGCGAAAATCGTTTCTGAATATCTTTTTACTTAACCCATAAAACTACTATCCATTCTTGTAGAGAAATCCTATATATTTGAATTATTTATTAGTAATAATCAAAATAAATACCACCTTCACCCAAATGTAATAGAAGGTCAGCTGTATTAAGTGATTCCTGGGGAATATATAACATAAAAAATACAATTTCTAATATGTATATATACATTTTATTGACATTATTATGTACAAATAGTATTTGATACAGTTCTTTTAGAATTCAGAAAAAAAATAATAAATTAATACAAAAAAGTAATCATATAATTATACAAACATCATATATAAGTTTCTACACAATCACTTCATTTTCTTTAAAAAATTACTGATCACGATTTTGCTTATTCTTAATTTTAAATAAAAATTATGTAAAATATTATATAAATAATATAAAGACAAATAATAAATCGATGAGAACGTATTTACATTAGCACAATGGCATACAAAAAGTTGTCGCAGAATATTATCGTATTCTGTAGTCTGTAGACCCTATTTGGCTTCTCGTCTAGACGCTGAAATAAAAAGTCTAAAGTCAAGGACTACATACATTCTTTAAACCGCGTATATTATAGGACCTTTGCTTTTGCATCAGTTTGTTATTTTGTTGTTATAAATAGAAAGAAGCAGAAAAAAAAGAAAGAAAAAACTGTTAGAATAGGCGTCTGAGCATTGTTGAAAATTACTGTCATAATTTTTAATGCCGGGATTTTGCTTGTTCATAATGTCGCTGCGCCTGATGTTTAATGGAATTCTCTAAATAACGGATGTTGAGATCTCTATGTACAGTTTTGTTTGAGACATACCATGGGACATTGGTTATGTTTCGTAGGCTCCTGTTTTGCAGGACCTGTAGAGCCTATGTAATGGAGGGTCTGATGATCATTTTGCAAGGCCGCATTTTGTTAATCAAACTTAATTTTCAAGATGTACATAGTAAATGATAAAGTTGCCGGAAAGTAATTTGGAATTTAGTTCTAAGCGTTTCTGCGTGTTTCCGTCAGATCAAGTGTAACTCCAATTTTTTTTGTGCAAAAGATGGCAAGCATTTTAGAATGGTTAACTTTGATCATCCACTGCAACACTTCATCCACGCCAGATATTTTCCACAGAGTCAGAAAATCTATGTTGCATAACGCACGGGCTTGTGTTGAATCCAGAGGTGGTCACTTTCAACACCTCCTTTAGGTTGAATATTATAGCGTTTATTTACCATTATCTTTTGTTCACAATGTTATGTCCTCATAAATTTAGAAACAACCACGTAGGTTTTACATAATTGCAGTAGCGATATGACGAGCAAGTCAGTATTTCAATAGGCATTGTACGAATTTAATAAATTAAGTAATGATATCAAGATGTGTGCCAGTTTGAAAATGTTCAAGGGGAAATTGAAAAAAATATCTCATGGAAAACCAGAATTCATAGTAATGAAATTTTGTATAAAAAAATGTAGTCTTGAAGACATAATATATTATGTGATATACTTTGTAACATGGATATCATATAAATAAATCTAACACAAACAAAAAAATTGAATGTAAAAATTCCAGTTTTTTTTTCTGTCCCTCTAAGCGCGTACTTTGGATTTCGAAACGTTCTAGTCGGCATTTTCTTAGTCCCCTAAATACGCAACTTTATGAGACACCCGGTACTAAATAGCTGTCGAAACAGGTACCTATAGTCAACGCCAAACAAAGTGGCGTGCACGTCATCACGATAAAAATTCCCCGACCTAATGCCTAGGTTTCTATCACAAACAATTGCTCTATTGCAGTTTCATATTAATGTGATATATAAATTGTAAAATGGTCATTACTCTCTTATTATGGTTAATAGTCATATAAACATTGTTATTAAAATATCACATAAGTTGCTTTCTGATAAATTTAGACGCATTATGCGAAATAAAATGTTTTGCAAACGCTCCAATCACTTATCGACAAGTAAACGCACTAAACCGATTTCGCAGCGTTGACACATTGTCACCTTGAAACTTATTTAAACTGGGAACTGACATTTGTATTAATTTTGACACTGAATCAATTTGTGGCATTTCAAATCTTTATAAATCCTTTGGCCCCGCATACTGTAAATCAACAACTGTTTGTTTCAAAACAAAATTATTCATTTTACGAGTAGATAAAGGCAATTTTGGTATATAAAGATGCCCAAACAGTTAAATAGTCGGTGTAAGGAACTCGTGGCCTCGTTAATGCACTACTTTGAGCAAGAAAGGGACAACAACGGGCCTTTGTTGCCTTTAAATGCTGTTCAAGAGGTAGGTTACTAATAATTATATTTTATTTCATTTTTTGTAGCGTGTTGCTGCTGCTTTAAAAATTAGTTTAAGGACAGTTAGTCGTATTTCCGAGGGTGTGAAAAGTGATGCAAATTTAGAATCGCCCAAGAAAAAGCGGAGTTATATTAAACGTGTAACCAACACAGCGACATTGGATACAAGTGCCATTCGAGAAGTGATCTATAATATGTATCACAAAAGTAAGATGTTATTATAATAACTTATCAGAAATTTGCATTAATTTGTTAACTAAATTATAACGTCATATTACACATGGTTTCAGAAGAACAAGTTACGATACAAACTTTATGGTCTCGATTAAGAGATAGGGCATTATTTGATGGTAGTGCCACGTCTTTAAGGCGGTTGCTTAGAGATCTTGGATTTAAGTGGCTTAAGGACAATCCGCGACGAGGGCTCATGGAACTACCAAGTATAGCTTTGAAAAGGGTGGAATTTCTAAGGCAATACAATCAAGCCAAGGTTGAGGCCTTATACCAGTTTGTCTTCCTCGATGAAACTTGGATATTTCAAAATGGGACCATAGGTCGCTCTTGGCAAAATGGAAACCAAAAAAGCGTGAAAGCTATTAAAACAGATGGTAAAAGGTATGTACTTTTACACAATTTGCACTATAAAATTTAAAACTAATATATTTTAGATACATTATATTACATGCTGGAAATGAAAATGGGTTTATTGAGGGTAGTGAAGCGATATTTTCTTCGAAAACAAAATTGAGCGATTACCATGGAGAGATGAACCAGGACAATTTTTTGAAATGGTTTCAACATCAGTTATTAGAAAAATTGGAGAGTCCATCTATGATTATACTGGATAACGCCCCTTATCACAGCATGATATTGAACAAAGTGCCCAACAATGCATGGACAAAAAAAAATATCCAAGACTGGTTGACAAATCAAAACATACCATTTTTAAGCACAATGTTTAAAACAGAGCTATTGAGTATTGTTGCTCGGTACATAATGCTTCTTAATTATATATATTTTGGTCGACAGTTTATATTTCTTTTGTTTATTCCTATTCTTAAAATAACTGCTTTTTTAGAAACAAACCACCTAAAATATACGTGATTGATGAATTGGCGGAACAACATGGGCACAAAGTTCTTCGTCTGCCTCCTTACCATTGTATATTTAACCCTATTGAGTTAATTTGGGGCATAGCAAAAGGTTACTATAACAGACATATTGGTAGAGATGGTAACAGTGAAAAAGACTGTTTGGATATGTGGAACGAGGCTCTACAAACGGTTACCCCAGACATGTGGAAAAATAGTGTTCAACATACTGAGCAAGAAATTTTTAAATGGTATGAAAGAGAACGAATTTTTGATCGACCAGACATCGAACCTTTAATAATCAACTTTGAGAGTGATGAAGATTCAGATTCAGACAGCGCTGAAGAAAGAAACTCCGACTAACTTTATTGTACAGAAAAAGCTTACACCAGTAGCTTACCTAATTTTAGAATGCATTTTTCTGTATGAATTCTGTAAAATAAATACCATGCATAAAATTTGGAGGACCCCATTTGGATTTTTATTCAGTACCTTTAAGCTATCAATTAAATATGGTAGTTTCATAGTGTCATCTGATCAATAATTGTCATACTTAATGATTATGCAAGTACAGATCTATAATTTTATTATACTATTATTTTTGTTCTCATTTGAGGTTAATATTGCTTATAAACCTAGATATGTAAATAATAAATTTTATTATTTTACAAAAAGTTTGGCAACAATGTAAATTTTTCAACACACCCACCTTGATGACGTGCACGCCACTTTGTTTGGCGTTGACTATATTTTGAGGGCCTTCCAAAATCGTACTTTTCCGGCGGTTTAAAAAAAGTTGTATACAGCAACAAACTAAAAGGCGATAACGTGAAAAAATATATCCAAAATCTTTTGTCTTTCTATCATAATGAACGACCTTCGTATTTTAAAAGAGGTCACCTTTCATTGTTCGGTATATTATATGTGAATCACTCACTTCTCGGAGGAACATTCTGTTGAAACGGCGTGGCTTCTCCAAAAAATTTGTAAAAATCACTGTACCATTCAGAAGCGCCACTACTGCTAGACCCTTGCTGAGCATGTTTCTCCTTTTCATATTTCTTCCTTAAGAGGGCTAACTTTTTCAGTGATTCTTCATCAAAGGTCTTGTTAGGTCTTTCTTGACGTTCATAGTCGGTCGATTTGTAACCGGATCCATTGTAACTAAAAACATCGAGTTAAATACAATTAAGCCAGTATTCAAATACGTTAAAATTTAAAATATATCATTGATCAGCGTATTTTCCAACGATGCCCAAACATAGGCTGTATTTGGACGTTATCTCACAATTCCAAGAAAAGATTACATCTCAGTTTGGTATAATTATTTGTTTACACATTTTTTTGCATCAATTTACTGCAATTTAATTTGATGATTTTTTAATTTTACCTTAAAACTTTTTTAAATTCGAACACTGTTTAATATCATTGTTTAATTCATTAAATTCAAATACTCACTTTTGAAATACACATTTGCTGGTTATGCTATTATGACAATTTTGCAGATAAAAAGCTATACTACTTCTAGTTTCATAGTTATGATAATGACTATTTAATCTTGCGAAGTCTTCTAAATGTGGTAGTAATAAATGATTTTTTAATTTGAATATGAAAACGAGAACTAAATAACATATGAAATTTTTCACATTCAACCACTGTAGTTCTTCTAACATATACTCTTCTAACATATACTTAATCCTAGCATATTTGTTTTTATTTAAAATGATTCACATAGCTTTATTTTGTGGAATTCGTAATTTTGAATATGTTTTCATTTGCTGTAAACAAGATGGTTGAACAATATAAAAAATGGGGACGAATTATAGTGTCACATTTTTTTTGAAATAATAGAAGTAATTTATCTTTTATGATATTTTTAAATAATTTATGCATAATGCTCTTGAAACAGTTGTTTACTATCAACGTATGAAGGCACAGACACAAGAATAATAATGGTCTAAATCCACTCTTTTGAAGATTCACATAAAAGCTATCAATGTACCTAGATCTATCAGTATAAAGCTAGTCTAACTCATTGTTTCAGTACCCGATCAACAGATGGCGCCAGCATACTATTTGAAACAAATTGTTATCGTTAATATTTTTCCAGTGTAACGGAACATCATTCTACCGCAGAAACTTGCTTCACGTCACTTCAACAATTGAATCCATTGAAAAAAAACAAAATTTTGATAAAACAGCAAGTTGGATTTAGAAATTGAGATATTCTACATAAAGAACAATCCAAATGGTGGTGGAAGACTGGAGAAGTATAGATAAGAAAGAATGTACCGTAAGGGTATTTTTAGATTTCAAAAGGGCATCTGAGACTATATATATAGGGAAAATTGGTAAGGAAATTACATCACTATGGTTTTAAAGGATCAGTATTAAACATTTTACAAAATTATTCAGTGAATAGAAGTCAAAAAACTAAAATTGGAAATATTATTCATGTATTTATACACCACCAACAGATATACTAATTACTGATAAGAATACAGCAAGATAACTTACAAGCCTTCAAAACATATCAGTGGGGGTACCACAGTAAATTAGGCCAGTTTTAATGATGAAAAACGTGAAGCAGTCAAATCATTCAAATATGAGCAATACGTATGTTAGAAATACGTAGAACCCGAGTGACGAGGTTACGGATGCAGTTGCGGCTTGCCGCGTTGCCATCAGTGCACTTTTTCTGACATACGTATTGCACGCTTCTCTCTCGTACACATTACCTCGTCAGGGATTTTTGAGTTACTCTGTATACTCTTATATGGATAGTTTCACTTGAACTGAAACTGATCTTGTGAGGATCATGATCACGACCAATGTGACACCTCTAACACCTACAAGGTGTTTTAACAAAATATTTCTTTTAGTATATTGAACCTCCGAGTTTTGGATCTGAGAACCATAATCGAAACATTCAACATTTTTGCAAATCAGGCAAACTGTCTGCTCATTTCTCAGCAATTTATCATTGGTCCCACTTTACTTCTGGAAGGCAAGAAATATACGAAGTCTGTAAATTAAGTGATTTTTTTAAATTCTTTACTTGCAAAATCGCAATTTTATACTGTCGCCCTCACAAAAACTTCCTTCTGAAACCACACAGCGCTGGAGACGGTTCTTCCACTCCTCATAGCAGTGCTGGAACTCCGATACTGTAATAGCCTTCAGCTGGTCGGTTACCGCCGTTTGAATGTTTTCGACTGACCCTTGAGGTGATATTGCAACTTCGGGAAGAGAAAAAAGTCACAAGGACTCAAGTCAGGCGAATAAGGAGGCTGAGGAACCACAGGAATGTTTTTACGGGGCAAAAACCCGGTTATTGACATTGCTGTTTGACAAGCATTATCGTGATGCAACACCCAGTTGTTCTTGATGAAGGGTGGTGTGAATCAAATTTAGCTATTCCCCTAACATTCAGACCGTCAACGGTCGATCTGAACGCATAAGATCCCGGATGTTGTCGATATTTTAATCGGATCTTGAAGATGAAGGCCTTCCGCTTCGTGGTTCATCTTCAATCGACTCTCTCGCTCTCTCTTCTAAAAATGCCTCAAACCACCAAAAAAACCTGGGCTCTTGACAAAACCGTAGGCATGTTTAGCAAGAGTTTCCGTTGCACCGTGCCCAAGTGTGAAGCAAAACCTGGTAGCACACCTTTGCTCGGAATTGATGTCATTCATTTTTAGAACACAGCAGGGAAAACTGTCTCACAAAAAAATCGCTACGGATAACCAAATGACTCGAAAGAGTTCAAGCTTGACTGAGGGAGGATCACATGTTCCCCTGTCTGACAGATCGGACGATACGTTGCCAGTCACATCACTTAATTTACAGACCTTGTCTCTTAATTTTTAAACAAATTGACTGGGTCAATTTTTTTTCATTAGCTGCCAGATATTTTGGAAGGAAAGAGTGAAGGAGTTATTTTTCTTCCAGTCTTGAGAACTCTCGAATTTGGAATCTAGATAAGTGTCGCAAGAATCATGTAGAATGAACCTTTAGATATGATGTTTTACTTACGGATAGAAACTTTGGCTGTGAGGTGCAGTAGAGCACCTCTTCTTGTAAGACTTGGAACTGGATGTCGATCGTGAGTCCATGGAGTCCCCGTTATTGTATGGATATTCCTGGAATAATGAAATCCAATTAATATTGAATGGTAGTGAAACATTTGCAACGGGTGATTCATTAGAGGTTATTTTTGTCTATGAATTATTTCACCGATAACGCCTTGACCTGTAATGGTATTTCCACTCAACATTTTCTAAAATTCTAACATGGCGTAGCTATAAAATTGCTCAGCTGCAATCATTGATAAGTCCGGTACGAATAATGAATTAAAAACTAACTTTGCTCGCGTTATTCTCCAAATACCATTTCAAATGCTCGGATGCGTCACCGAAAATTTGAAAAGTTGAATGTATTTATTTTATTTTAAAAACAGTACCTCTAAATGAATCATTCATTACTAATGTATCTGCATCTCAAAACTTTCATGTGCACCAAAAAAACAATATATTTGTTAAACTAAACATGAGGCTTTCGTCCATCCGACCAAAAAGACAGCCAACCATGGTTAGCTGTTTCATGCTTCTTGGCTACTCATCAGCATGGTCTAGTAGGCTTGGTCTCTAGTCTCTGGACAAACGAACGAAAACATCATTAAATTCGTAAAAAATGATGCTATTAGAAACGGTGTACTTTTTTCCGGACCATATAATAAATAAAGTTGATGATGGTTTCTCAAAAACGGGACACAAAATTTAAAAAGACCTTCATGTGGTGCCTAAAAGTGCAAATTTGATACGTTTTAAACTAAAGTCAGAAACAAATAAAAACTATTTGGCCAGATTTTAGTTTTTCCCAAATACCTCAGCCATGAAATTTTTAAACATTTCTCAACGGCATGTAAATATGCCTCAAAGAATGCAGCTTTTTCCTAATTTAACCTAGGCTGTATCTCCCACATGTATTGAGAATCCTTATCTTGACAACCCGTATACTCGTATACAAATTGTTGGTACAGTCTGCGAAAATCAAAAGTCCACCAGTTTTGGTCTAGCAAACAGGGTCTTGTTGAGATTAGCTTTAACTTTATTCAGATATTTGGCGACCTCAAAAATTATAATTTTTTACCAGGTTTTTAAGAATTCAATATACCGCGCGGTAACCCAGTTCAAATTTGTTTAAACAATTTTTTCAAATAAAATACAATGTTTTTTGACCGGAAGAATTTTTTTCAGATTTTCCTGATCATTCTGAACAAAAAAGGCATCTAGGAGCTTTTCTCTAAAAATAACTATTTTCCAGTTATAAGCGATTTAAAAACCCTAAATATAGGTATATTCAATGCTAAAAACTCGGTTAAAAATAGTAAAATGTAAAACAGGTTACTTTAAGCTCCACTCCACTCCTGCGACCTATATATAAGGATTGGACCACTGACGATTGGAATCGAGTCCTTTGGTCCGATGAATCCAAATTCGAAATGTTCGGATATCTACGACGACAGTTTGTATGCCGCCAACCCCATGAACGCATGGCTCCGCAATGTTTGTAGCCCACTGTTAAACATGGAGGTGGGAGTGTAATGGTTTGGGGCTGTTTTGCTGGAAATCGAATAGATTTGGTTCGTATTGAGGGTATAATGCGAAAAGAGCAGAATTTGGAAATATTGGAAAACAACGCTGTTCCCTCAGGACAAAGGATTGTTGCGAACAATTTCGAATTTCAGCAAGACAACGACCCTGAGCATTCATCTCGACTATGCCGCAATTATTTGGACCAGCATCAAGGACTTGGTGCAAAGAAAATCACGACGTGGTCTTCCCAGTCTCCAGATTTGTCTCCTATTGAGTATTAGTCGAATGAATTGTACAGACAGGTGAAGCAACAAGCGCCTACTAGTGCAGGAAGCGTGGGTATCCTTATCACCACCTATTCTTGAAAATTTGATACGTCAGATGAGTCGTGTCTGTCTTGCAGTTATTCGGGCTCGTGGTGGACATTTCGATAAATCACGAATTTAAAGCAAATTTGATAGAAATAAGTTACCAACTAACTGAGTTACAGTGGAAAATAGTTCTTTTTCATTTTTTTGATTAAACACACTCTATTGTTTGATTTGGTTTGGTTTCCCTCAAAATATCTGCTGTCCCAAAACTTTTGAGCGGTAGTGTATATAAATGAGTGGCAATGATAAGAATACATTACAGGATGTAGAATCCCAATGAGTCATCAAAAGACTCGTTTTCGAGACTCCACGTTATTTTTATAATTATTCTCGAATATCAGTTTGATCACCGGTAGTTCTTGATCTACGACCATGATGAGAGATTTAGCAGTTCTTGAGCCTCGTCTATACGTTGGGCTAACATACGCCAAGGCAAATATGTAATATGTCTTCTCTGCACACTCGCTGTGGCAACCAATAATAATGCTCATTGGTCTAGTCCTAGTCTCAATGTATCGGTGTACGTTAGCTTGACGTGTAGACACGGCAGTATGCTCTGCTGTATAACTTATCTGCACAGGACTTTACACCTTTTTTTGTGCAGCTCAGAGATTTTTTGCGTTTCCAATTATTGATAATGGAAGGACTATACGTATGTGTGTGTACATTTCAGAGTTCAGTTAATTGAAAAGAAACATAACATAATAAAATTGATGCATCTTCCGATAAATGATTTGTCCATAACTTCTTGTCCCCAATGAAATATACGGAAAAAATATTTAACTTCAATTCTAAAATGTACACACACTTACCTCACTTATCCTGACAATGGAGAAGCAACTGAAGAGAAATTACTCCACTTACTTAAACTTCAAAAATTAGTTCATTCGGAAAAGTCGGTGAACGCCAAACTGACAAGCGAGCTCAGGGTTCCTAATTCCAACTGGACTATTACTGAATAACCGCTACCATGTAGTAAGAAATGCGTCTGTGTCATCAACGCGTGGACGCCGTTGACGGTGCGTCGGCAGTTTGGTGGTTTGCAGGTCCGCCCGCCCTTGTCCCCGCAAACCCCTCACCCATAAACTATCAGCAAGCTGTAGCGCGAAAACTACACATTTTAGCAAAACATTTGCAGACCTTTTTTGATGGCCCAAGAATTAGAAAAATTTACGTGTAAAAAAATCCCAGCCGTTTCAGCGAAAAACAGGTCTTTTCGGTTTTTCGCGGTTTTACAAAAAACGGCTGGTTTCCGGAAAATCAAATTCATAGAACAATATTCGCAAGCATTACGCCAACGGAAATAACTTTGTGGCTTTGTTATAACTTTTGCGGCAGTTTCGGCTATTTAACTGGACTATTGACGAATCCCCCCTTTTCGGCCTGACGTCGGCTTTTGGGACACTCTGTATATCAGTAAGATATGGCGATATACATATCAGTATTGGTCGATCCTACATACAATATCGCAGTACCAACTAAATGAAATCATTAATAATGTAGATATAATTAATCCGTATGTTTTTTGTGAAATATGAATTTGGTCAAAAAACCTTACGTGACAGCTCCGAGGCCGTTCGTTCGACCTATGACTCTCTCTGTCCCTTATCAACTGCTCCTTTGCCGGTATTTTCGAATCGCCTCGCTCACTGGTACGACTGCTCGGAAGCGATTCTGCTGAAGACTTCACCTGGAAAATAATCAACAAACAGCATATAACATTGAACTAGTCGCAGTTATTCTTAAGCACTAAACCGTTGCGTCGCGTTGTCTTTTAATACATTAATCCAGTCATATTAGGGATATCACATCGGAATGAGATATAACAAGAGGTCAACCCGTGGAAAAAGTCTCAAAAAATCTCATGTTCGCGTTTTACAATATCAAAGGTCACAAAAATCATTATTCATTATGAATATCTTCATGCAAATTAACCGTTTTTGAGATAGAGGGCGGAGAGCGCGCAGCGTTTGTCTAATTTGCACCAAAATGCAAGGTAAACCGTTAGTAAATAATAAGCCGTATTAGGTCAACAAATCGTTGACAACTATGTGTAGTTACGCATAATTAGCATCTTTTTAATATTTAATTGCAGCATTATATTTTTGATACTTTTTAATTAACCAAATATATGCTTATATGAAATATGAGCTTATATAAAAATTCGCAGAACCCAAACCAACAACCTCATATATAGAGTGTCTCACATTAGCTTCTCTATATAGGGATCTCGGCTCCTGTTATACCTACAGCAAAAGTTAAATGGGAGAAGTTTTAGAGAAAGCTTGGTGCATTCGATAGCCGGCTTCCGATTTACGATCGGTCAATTGGTTTTAGAAATGTCGGCGAAAAACCGAAAATGTATTTTGTTTTTTGCCAGTAAATCCGAAACGGTTAATTTGACAGCTGCCGAAATGTGATATTATTCGGACATTTTTTAAGGCAAATAAGATAGCGTGTATGACATGTCTCAATCGTCTTTTGTTTTCCCGTAACTTGCCTCAATTTTCGTTTTTCTGATGACCGCCATATTGGATTTTTCGATGTTTGGAAAGAGCGTAAAATTGCTAACTTATTATACGGAAAAAATGTCACATTTTGACAGCTGTCAAATTGACTCTTTTGGATTTACTGGCAAAAAACAAATTCCGCCATTTTCAATGTTTCACTGATATTTTCAAAACCCATTGGCGATCGTAAATCTTCTGCCGCTACACCAACGGGCTTTGCTCCTCAGAGCTCTCTTCCAATGATGCCGCCGCGCGACGTGCCTGCTAGACAGACCCGCCTGACTTAGGCCTCCCATCCTAACCGTGTCGAACTTCGTACATCCGGAACTGTCCGATACGACCGCTCCTTTGTCCCGAGGGTGTCGAGATTGTGGAACAATCAACAAGAGGAAGCTTTTCCTAGTTCTACTAACCTTAGGTAGTTCAAAAATCGGATTAACAAAATTTCTTTGCGATCCTCATGACAGGCGCATTTAGGCTTCTGCCAGCGTGGCTGCTTCGGTATAAAAAAATATTTTTATAAAGCGCAGTAATCTGCTGCAGCTGCTAAAGCGAATGTTGGAGAAATTTTTCTATTGAAAGTCTCAAACGGGAATTTTTGTTTGCACCTAACATGTGCATCATGTTACTGGGATCAGACGCTTATTAATAAAATATGCAACAATTCACAATACTGAAAACATGCAGAAGTCTTTAAAACGTCAAGAAAAGAAGGACGATCCATTTTATCTTTTCTTGTCCCTAGCTCTGCCGCCAACGGATAGATTTGCAAAACTTACAAAGGTGTTTCCTCCTTGGCATATTAATAACCTTGTTCCAAAATTTCATCAAAGTTACAGAGGGGCCAATGATTCGCGCACAAACAGACAGATCGACAAACAAACCGACAGAAATTAGAGGCATGGTTATTCGTGATTTAACATATAAGACACTTAATATTCATTTTCGATTTTTTTTATAATGGTCATGAAGAAAATGGGAGCAACAATCTTTTACTGTTTCTGAAGGTGTGATAAAAAGTAATAAAAAAAGACTCTACCATATTACCTTAGTTTTCAATTTGTTGTCTTGTGTAATGAGTGAAATATTCTGGTTGACGTTACCCTGTTGCACCAGCTCATTAAAGAGATCGTTGTTTAAGATTTGCCTTTTCTCACGATCTTCTCTTCCACTAGATCCACTAGACGAATCTGAACTGTCATCTCTACTAGCATGTTTGTTCGAGACACTTCGCTTCGAACTGGTTCTCTTACTAGTCCTTTTTTTGGACGACTTTCGCTTGGCCTCCACAAGGTTCTTGATAGGCCTTGGGACTGATTTAAGCTTCAACAGATTATCTGTCATATTCGGAGTTACCTCTACATGTTTCAGGGTTTCGGATCCTTTTGGCTTCAAAGGTTCAGACACTACGTCCAAAGGAAATCGCTTTCCAGACGCTGAACTACACGTAGACTTTCGTGGTTTGGTTTGAGGCTGAGGCGCTTCTTTTTCTGTAATGTTAAACCTTGATTTCCTCTTCCGTTGTTTGATAACGTCATACATCAACTCATAAACAACAGAATCCGAATTATTGGGAGTACTGTTGACTAACGGCTTGTCAGTGTGTCCAAGAGCTGCAGATTCTTGGCTTGAAGAAGATTCGCTTTTATGTTCTGGCATTGGAACGCTATTTTTGCCTTTTGGCGTTTTCTTTTCACTTGTCTCAATTAATTTTGCGATCTTGGAAGGTGGTGGCAAAATATCTTCAGCAGGTCTTTTGAGCTCGTTTTTAGTGTCTTTAGTTTCTTCAACCTTATGAGAGGGATGTTTCTTCTTTGGAGCGACAACAGGGGTCCTACTGTTTTTTCTTGTAGGGGTCGTGAGTGACACGGCAGGTTTAGCGGTACGTTTTTCTGATATCCTTGGAGTTGTCGCGGTTCTAGTACATTTTTCACTGTCGCTCTCCTCGGTAGATGGAAAATTGGCAGACGGTTCAGGTTCTGGAGATATAGACGATGGAGAGTTTTCTACGGTACGTTGCGCAAACGGCACGATTGTATCGTTAGTGGCTGAGTTGAACGTTGGACTTAAACGTTCGTTAGGAACGACTACCACTTTTGGATTAGCTTCCACGTGTGTATCCTGTAAAATAAGCAATTTCGGATTAGATAAATCTGTTTGTTGTTTTAAGTAAGTGTATTAATCTATCTATATATATATATATATATATATATGTATAATGGATATAGACAAATTAATATTGTGCTGTATTTCCTTTTTAACTTGTTTTATTAATACACCAACCTGTATACATAATTCGTTATAGCATAATACTCACTACATAAATAAATTCATTAGACTCCCTTCAATAAAAAATTAATTGAAAAAAAAACTGAAACTATGAAGGACAAAAATATATAGACAAAGCAAAACAAATATAGAAAGAAGAAGCAAAGTTCATTGAATTATAGAAAACCAACCATGTTTGTGTTGATATTTTGTAGCATAACCATTATTATCAATCATCGCCTGGCATCGTCTCGGCATAGATTGTAGAAGTTTCTTGATATAAGATTCATCAATCTGTCTCCACTTTTGCTCTAAAGCGGCAAAAAGTTCATCCTTGTTTGAATAATTTTTATCTCGTATTTGCTTATCTAAGTATTCCCATAGATTTTCAATGGCATTTATATCGGGAGACTGTGAAGGCCATTTGAGAACTGGTATTTTTTCATCCAGAAAGAATTTCTTTGCGAGATTCGAAGTGAGCTTCGGGTCATTATCTTGATGGAAGATTGATCTTAAGGGCATATTGTCTTTTATATAGGGTAATATGACATGCTTTAATATGTCTGTGGATACAAACTTATCCATAATGCCATCTATTCTTTATAAAGGTGCCATCCCAAACCCCGAAAAGCACCCCCAAACCATAACAGATCCGCCTCCATGTTTGACAGTAGGCAAAGTTTACTTGGGGTTCAATCTTTGTCCACTAGGACGTCTAACGTAATGAACACCATCTGATCCAAACATATTGAACTTGGATTCGTCACTCAAACATACCCTCTTCCAGTCACACAGATGCTCCAATCAAGATGCAACCGTGCAAATTGTAATCGGCCCTTACGGTTTTTCCTCGATATTAGCGGCTTCTTACTCGGGCGACGTGCAAATAACTTCAAATCATATAATCTTCTACTTATAGTTTTCGTAGAAACACTGACAATTCCCTTTGTCTCGATTTCGGCTTTTATTTGGCTTAGGGTTTTAAACGGATCTTTGGACGAAATTACTTTTATTAATCTAACTGATGTGGCATTTAGTTTTCTAGGCGGACCACTTCTCTTAGAGACTTCTAAAATGCCTTTTTGTTTATATTTATTAGATTATTTTAATATATATATATATATATATATATATATATGTATATATATATAACAACAAGTAGGAAAATAATGGGCAAAATCCGCAAAAAGGAGGAAAGTGGATTCGAGCAGAAAATAGGATAGGTAACCCGAGCGATACGTATTTCTGCTGGTTGGCTTCATCAGGACCGAAATGAATGCACATATGAAACTACAAAAGTAGATACACATGCCCACACATCCGGATACGGGTGTAACCTGAGGAAACGAAGTTGGAGGAGGAAGAAAACGACACACGAAGTCCACAACAAGAGCCAACCTACACATTGTAGTATAAAATGGCTATACGACCTCGAATTTTCAAGGAGACGTCTAACCACCACCACGCGGCCGGTTATAGCCACTTGCTGTGGTACTTCAAGCCCAAAGGATCTACAAAGAGAATATGATCATGCGGAGAAAGGTATATAACAACAAGTAGGAAAATAATGGGCAAAATCCGCAAAAAGGAGGAAAGTGGATTCGAGCAGAAAATAGGATAGGTAACCCGAGCGACACGTATTTCTTTCTCCGCATGATCATATTCTCTTTGTAGATCCTTTGGGCTTGAAGTACCACAGCAAGTGGCTATAACCGGCCGCGTAGTGGTGGTTAGACGTCTCCTTGAAAATTCGAGGTCGTATAGCCATTTTATACTACAATGTGTAGGTTGGCTCTTGTTGTGGACTTCGTGTGTCGTTTTCTTCCCCCTCCAACTTCGTTTCCTCAGGTTACACCCGTATCCGGATGTGTGGGCATGTGTATCTACTTTTGTAGTTTCATATGTGCATTCATTTCGGGCCTGATGAAGCCAACCAGCAGAAATACGTATCGCTCGGGTTACCTATCCTATTTTCTGCTCGAATCCACTTTCCTCCTTTTTGCGGATTTTGCCCATTATTTTCCTACTTGTTGTTATATACCTTTCTCCGCATGATCATATTCTCTTTATATATATATATAGAGTAATGGACATATATATATATATATATATATATATATAATTCAATTGTCCATCTCATCAACAATATAGTTTGTTCAACTGCCTCTGGTCTATTGACAAGTTCTTATTCAACATATCTTGATAAATCACACCATCTGAAGTGATTTGGCAACATAGCACACATTTTACAAAAAAATTTCGCTCCATCCATCGACACTGATACCACCAACCTCTGTCATCTGTCATATGTTTCATCCTACTCATGATCCTGTGGCACATTTTGTGCAGCATCAGGTGGTTCACGATGTAATTTTAACTTTCGTTCTAAATACTTTTAATACGTTTTGATGTATTCCTGACATACAGCTGTGTGTATTTTATATTAATTATTTTTATATTAATTTTAACGAATGTTAATACGTTTCTTTTGCTTAATTGACTACATTTTCAACTTGACAGCTCGCACGCCGCAAATTTATATTTAACAGTGTTTATTGATAAAAAAATATTGTTTTATTTCATGCAGTCTATTCGATTAGAGCTTTTATCCTGTTTTCAGTTTGTTCAATGAGTTGTCTGAGAAGTATTTGTTCAAAAATAATTAACAAGGGTGGATGTTAGTTCACCGCAATCATGCATTATACAAAAATTGCGGCTCTTCAAAACGCCACCAATTAGACGTACCAACCTAGGTCGCAGAACTTGCAATGCTGCAAGTCAAAGATATATTCGCAGAAGTCAAACTGACGAGCAACGAGAAGTAAGAAATGAAGTAGAATTGTGTATTTAATCTAAATCAAGCTGCATTCAATTCTGACGTGGCAATCGATTACAGTTCACAACAAATCGTTGCTATTGGACCAATGAACGATGTGAGACCACATTGTAAGGCTTTCCAGTTTAAAAAGTAAGCCCCTGGATTATGATGCGGCAGTGGAAAAGTCAAATTGACTCCATTGTACCGCCACCACAGCCACTACTTTCATTGGTTTCCGGAAATGAACCAGATTCTATACATTTTTTTGACTCATATCCAGCAATAAAATAAATAAGTCATTCGACATAATTTTATGCCTACTTTCACGATAAGTTGATGGGGGAATGGCAGCGCTGCTAGCCACATGGCGGTGCAAACACTTCCCTATACTATTACCTATATTCCATATTTATACCCTTACATTATTCATCCCAGTCATAGCTAAGACAGGACAAAGTCTGTCGGGTCAGCTAGTAATATAATAAGAATGCATAAATTAAAGTAGAAACGTTCCTCTTCGAGCTTCCGAAATGTAATTTGGGCCATTTCTTGTAGAAGAATGTAGATAACTGTCCACAAAAACTGCCATTTTTGCATTTTTACTCACTTTTTGTTTTTGAGAAAAAATATGAGAATGTAAAACCCTATACTTACCAACTGGTTTGGGTTCTCCTCGTTCTTACATTGTATACAACTCTCTCTACCACTGGAAAAGTCAGAACTCTTGTTAGGAACCTTGTTGACTGCACTTTCTTCCATCAAATCCATGGATTTTATGTCAGTTAGTCCGATTCTTCCGACATGGTAAGGATTCGTGACAGAAGTAGTCTGACCTACCAGCAAGAGAAGATTATTGACTGCGTACTCATTGGCGTCGCCCAGTTGATCATTGTTCTCGAAGTCGCCGAAGTCCATCGTCTGCTGTGGAAAGCTATTAGAATCGGTTTGGCTTGGTTTGTTTATATCGGGGATGATGGAGTTTTCCTGCGATTTTCCGCTGAACAATGGATCACCTAAAAACATCAATAATTTTCATTCTTTTTAATTTTAAGACCACCCACAAAACGTTTCACTGTATTGCAGGTGGTATACGGTCTCTGACTGTCGAACGCGGAGGTACCACCCGGCGGATCTCATAGGCGGGGCCAGAATGTGTACATGCTGCATACACACCTGTTTCCTCGCTGGATTCCGTATGCCCCCTCCTTTCCCTTGTATCCCCCTATAGCCCCATGGTACCTATGGATGTTAAGGCCTTGGGCCTTCGTGGAGGTGCAAGTAAAAAAAGGCTTCATACAGGGCACGGCATACTGGTCGAAACACCCTCTCGAGGCAAAATGTGACCAGGCGTTCGAACTCTTAGGGCCGTCCTTGATTTTCATAGTTTTCTACTTACAGTGTCAGTACTCTATATTGAGGTTATGTTACAAATATCGAGGTATTTGAATCAAAATTTTCATGCTTTTGATTTATATCATCTGTTATATCAGCCTGAAATTTCCTACAATTCAAAAAGAAAACAATAGGAGAGTGCTGACGCAGACACGGAACAGTAGAAATCTAGAACTGCCCCAGCCATTCTGAGGGAGAGAAAATACTATGAAAATCAAGGAGGTCATAAAGGCGTCCTACAATTGTAGGAACGATTGACGATACGGTCGTTAATTATTTTGTTTCCTTATCATATGCTTATCATCAGTGCTATTAATACGGCCTGTTTAATTCTATTCGAAAAGATTAATTTGATAAACTTGGCAGAAAGAACGTGGTCACTGTTGAATTAGTAAAATAAATATTGTGTACAGAAAAGAAACATTTCAACATGTGTGCGGGGGTGCAAGTCGCCAAAGCAGACAGAAACATTTTGTGGCTGGCCTATGGTATAGTAAAATTTCTCTTTCTCTTTCAGTGAGAGGATGTAACTGCAAAACACAGTAATAACTTTTTCTTATTCTGTATATTCAGTATTCGTTTTACTCTACATGAATAACATGTATCATCAACACACGAATGCTTGTTATTTTAACACATAGTAGTTGAGATTTATTTCTCAATTCAATTAAAAGAGCTGAAATGGAGTGTAATTGACCAATCTAATGTTTATTTGGTGGATCTACCGCGATTTCCGCCTAAAGAATTTTCGTTGAACAATTTGTTATGGTAGCACTGGGCAGTCCTGTAGCTGAACGTGCAAGACAATTCTGATTTCAAATATAATCAAGATATTCCTGTGCTCTTTCTTTTCCCCAAGAAACGTACATACGTTATACGCGGGGCACGCTGTATATTTTGAGATGCGCATAACCTATACTAGCTAAAACCGGAAACAGTGCACTATTAGAAAGAACAGTCCTTTAGAAGTAAGTCGCCGCATTCAGTTCATTTGCAGGCGTCTTACAGTGCACGTGGTGTAAACAAATTCAAAACGAAACATGAAGTTGTCTCGAGAGAGTTATCGCGCTACGACTTACCATGAACTTCAAGTCGGCTTAATTGAACATCAATGAATTTGGCATTTGGTAATGCGTGTTGCAGAGGTACAATCCTGCATCACTATAATGTCTCTAGCCACACTGCCCAACTAACTGTAGATGTTTTACGCCAGCGCCACATCAAAATGCTAGAACATCCGCCTTTATTCGCCAGACTTGGCAATGTATTACTTCTGGCTCTTCAAGAATTTAAAAGAAAAATCTGCGAAAATTTTCGTCCGGAGAGGAAGTCGATAAAGTAATTAATCGGTTTGTTGAAGACATTCCAAAAACTGACTGTTTAGAAGTATTTCATTTGTGGAAGGTCAGCTTACAAAAGTGCATTGATGCTGAAGGAGAATACTTTAAACATAAATAAACTAGTTCTAAAATAGTTTTTAGTTTTCGTGTATCTGAAAATATATAGCGTGGCCCCCGTATGCATACTTTTTTTAAAAATATGACTGCCACTACTTTGCATAAATTTCGCGCACTCACAGAGGATGTGTGTGCCAAACAATAATCTACAGATTACATTAGACGGCAATTTAATCGACAATCGACACACGTTGATGCATTTTTAAAAAGATATCATTTTTTCTTAAATTATCTCTCTCAGGTAATCGACTGTTCTTTTCAATAAAGTGCTCTGTAATTGATGTCATACCAATCTAGGGATTATATCAGATTTGATCCACAATTCGGGCAGGGATTAAAGGGTCCTTTCCGATTCTCCAATTATTGATTCAGTTTTACTAAAACGCTTTCTAATTGGTCATCGTTTCTTGATTTGAATCGTATATTTTTTCACTAGTTTAGGAAATATTTTAGAAAACAATCGACTATATTCAGTAGATCCATTATTAGAAAGACAACTCAAATGCCTTCTCATTGGTCCATTTTGATCCGGATCAAGAATTTTGATCTCCTGTTAGTAAAATCGGGGCTAAGTATTCTCAAGGCTATGACGTTCTGTGCAAAATTACATAAAGTTTTTGAAGCATTCATTAGGATCCATCACATATCGGATTTTAAATTTGATCTATATTTACAAGACCCAGTCAATAATTATAGTTCAATTCACTTACCCGCATTATAATAGTTGTGGTCATTGGCTCCTTCATCACCTTTGCTTTCTTCGGCATCTCTTAGTAGATCCTCAATGATATAATAATTTATGAATTTAGTATCTCCTAAGTAGCTTTGAGACGAGGATGAATCGTTATGGTCCTTCAACTCCTCGACTTCACCGATGTCCAGTTCGTCCTTAATGTTCAGGATGCAGTGGTCGTCACTCTCGCTTTTTCCAGGAGAATGAGTCGTTATTGTTACCTCGAACTGCAGACCTTCCGCAGTGGATGATAGTACATCTTTGTTCAATTCCATCAACTGCTCAGCTATTGTGGATTCTGAGAAGTACGAAACCTCTGCCTCAACGACAGGCACTGCTTTAGTTTGCTCGTCAGCAGTTTTAGGATCGGTCGTCAACGCTTGTATTTGAGACGATGGCTGGTGTTCGGATATTATTTGAGATACAGTCGTAGGCAGACTTAGTGCTTCTTTTCCAAACATTTCATCTTCTTTGTTAGTTTTTGTAAGTACTCTTCCAGAATCAAGCTTATCATTGAGCTTTCCAGCCTTAGAATGTGAGGTAGATGTGTTAACTTCATTGGTGTTCATTTTCGATGTAAGAGTATCCCCATTTTCTTCCGTAGCATGAACAGTGATATCTGTAGAAGGTACAGTTACGCCAAGCTCCTTTGCGTCTGCCGATTCGGCTTCAAATGTATCGCATGATGTGCTATTTTCTTTGACATGCGGGATTATATCTGTAGTTTTGTTTATTTGAGGTAATACATCAGTTGCTATTATTGTCTTGACAGTATCCTCGACTATAAAGTCGACAGTTTGAGGCTCAGGTGCTATATCTCCAGATTGCATAGCATCTAAGTTTGATGGAACTTCAGAAATGATTTCATCCATATGTTCGTCAGGTTTGCACAGTGAAGTCTCATCAATTTTTTCAAAGCTTGTTGTCAAATTATTTTGGTGAACAGGTTGGATTGATTCAGAAACTGATTTTGTTACATCAAATATTATTTCAATTGCATGCAGTGGTGCAGCAAGCGCATCTTGACTTTTATCATTATTGATCACCTCATCATTATATGGCGTAACAATTACATTTTTCACTATCTCTGGAAAAGAGTCTGAGGCTTTGTGGTCATCACCTTGCTCTATAGTAATCTCCAGGTCTGATTTTCCTATTGGAACATCAACCAGACCTGTAGCTCCAGTCATTTCTTCAACTGAATTTATCCTTTCGATGTTGGGATTCACAATGGTAGCAGATGTGTTTTGATCAACAAGAATTTTAGACCTTGCGTGTTTATTTTCATCATCCAATTCAGGGGCTACAGGTTCAGCTTCACTTTTTTCCACAGTGTCATCAATTGCTTGAACATGATGCTGTACGCTACAAGGTTTTTCATCAGATAATAACAAAACTGATTCTGCGACGTGCGCAGGCACTTCTAATTTTTCTTCATCAGGCCTAGTATCCGCAGAGGACTCAACAACAGATACACAATTGCCAATAAGTACATTTGAATCATCCTTTTCAACAAAAACGACCAGATCGGACCCTAGATGCTCAGCTTCAGGCGACTTGACAACTTCATCGATAGTAGTGACACTTTCATTTGATATATCTGTGTTCTGTATATCATTAACAGGAGATACCACTGCGATGTTATCACTCTGAGATATCATCGAATCATTTTCAGGTGTGTTATGAGGCTCAATTTCTGCTTTAGTGATATTTTCAAGACTATCTGATTGATCCTTGGGTAATGTAGTCATAGTTGGATCCAAAGAAGAGTGATAATCTTTCTGCATTTCTGGTGTTATCTCTACGGCTTCTGTAACAGTTTTTAAAGAAATGTCACTATCCATTGGCGCATCCCTTATTCCACTCAAAAGGTTTACGATTGTCTCATCTGTTTTTCTCTCTTTTTTAGGTGAAGATTTTGATGCTGCTTTAGCTAGCGATTCATCTAGCCTTGCTCTTTTCGCCGATGAACAATCATCATTTATTTCTTTTTCTAATTTTGTTTTCCGTAAATTTTCAATTTCTTCTGACAGAATTTCTATTGGCAACGCTTCAGCTTCACCTTGATGTTCATTTTCTTTGCAACTTTGATCCAACAAAGAAACTTCTCCAGTCTCATACCTGTTCACTTCCTGTAATGGCACGCCAAGACCTGATAATTCGTTTGTGTTTGACTTCATGGATAAATCCATTGCCTTGTCTTCTTTTTGTATATTAACATCTTCAGATTTTATATGTTCATCTTGATTGATAATTTGAGTGATGAGATATTTCCGTCTACACCGTTTGACAGTTCTATTTGCCAAATCGGGCACTGGCTTTATCGATTCGCTTGTGGACCTTGCAGAATCTACAACAGGTAAAGCTGATACTTCATCTTTACTGACTTCTTCATTATTATTATCTTTTCTAGTTTTTTCTCCTGAATATTTTTTCTTCGGATCATCTGTATGTATCATTGAATTAGATTTATTTGAACCATGTTCTGTCCTGCCCTCTCTTTGCAGATGCTGGATCTCAGCAATATCCGAAGTAGTTTGGTTACACTCAAATTCAGTTTCTTGTTCCGATTGTACTGTACTTTTTGCTACACTATCTATAGTTTCACTCCCTGCGTGTTTTGATAACATCTTACAATTTTGTAAGTGATCTGAATCTTCTGTCGTCTGTGCCTTAATCGCAACTTTATTTATTTCTTGTGGTTTTTCTAAATCAGTGCCTTGCTTTTTTTCAACTGAACCTTTACTCACATCATTTATTTCAACAATCCCATTCTTTGATTCAGGCCTTCCAAGTCTTGGCTCAATTGCATCTGATACAATGTCGGTAGTTATACATTTTACTGGTATGCACAATTTATCTTTTGATAAATTCATACTACCATTGACGTTCTTTTCATCGTCTAAAATCATGCCGCTTTTCGATTTTTGAAATGCTTGTTTCAAAGCGCTCTCTGTCTCATTTTTCTTAATTCCAGACTTAATTTCCCTTCCATCATGATCCCTTTCAACTATACTTTTAGGCCTAGACCTCCTGAGCTTTGACTTATCAACATTCATTCTTTCTTCGGAAATATCAGCATGTTCTTTATCCGCGACGGCTTTTTCTTTTCTATCATTTACTATGCTTCGCGATTTGTCATATTTTTCGAAAGATTTATTCATCGATTCTTTGCTGATTTTGCATTCATCATCTTTTGGTTTTTCCTCGGCATATTCTGATTTTGCAGAAGTTCCACCTACTTTTTGTTCCATTTTTGCTGTATCGTGCTTCCTTTGAACCAAATCCCCTTCGAGCAAATTAGTAGCGTTGTTCTGTTTTGGTATATGAAGTATATCACGCTTATCTCGATCACTTTTCTCATATTTAATTTCTGAATTCGACTCTTTTATTCCACGTTTTCCTTTTCCTTTCTTTTGCTCAGGGTGTTCTGATGGCACATTTGCTTTCTGTTCTATTTTATTAATGTTGTTTTCTTTTTCTGTTGCTTCCAGAACCTCTGCTGTATCAACGGATTTACTTTTTGACCTGCATTCATTTCTGATTTTGGATTGTTTATGTTCTGTTTTATTTTTATGCGTGAGAATTACCTTTCGTGAGCCTTGTTGGCTTAATTGGTTTTTATTCTGAATATCACTTCCAGGTGGCCCAACATTGAATTTCCCTGCGAGCAAATTAGTAGCGTCGTTCTGTTTTTGTATATGATGTAAATCACCCTTATCTGGATCACTTTTTTCAGATTTAATTTTTGAATTCGGCTCTTTGATTCCACGTTTCACTTTTACTTTGTTTTGCTCGGGGTGTTCTGATGCCACTAATGCCTTCTGTTGTTCTATTTTATTAATGTTGCTTTCTTTTTCTACTTCTTCCAGAACATCTACTTTATCAACAGATTTAATTTTTGATCTGGACTCACTTCTGATTTTGGATTTTTTATGTCCTGCTCTGTTTTTATCCGTGCGAATTTCCTTTAGTAAGCCTTGCTGGTTTTTATTCTGAATATCACTTCCAACTTCAGTCGATGAATCCTCTTCAATCAATATATTTTGCTCAAAGTCTTCAGGCTTGTATTTGTCCTCATAAGTTAGTGCCCTCCCTCGTTTTCTGGAAGTAGCAGCTGTTTGCTCAGTTTGCGTGCCTTTCAAGTCGATGTCCCCTATTGCGATTAATCTATCAGATTTTTGTGATGTTTGTACCTTGTTGTCAAGGTTCCTCGAATCTCCTTCACTGGAGATTTGAACACCCATCCTTGATGACTTATACTTCTGAATTATTCTATCAATTTCTTCTGGCGAAACTTTTGCCTCATCAATCTTGTCAGCTTCTCCATGAAGTTCCAATGATTTTTTTATGCACCCAGCCTCTTTGAAGGACTCAACGTCATGTTCCAGTTTTTTCTTTAGTTTCTCTACAGTGGGGTATACAGTACTTTTACAGTTCAAGAGTATTTTGGATTTTCTTCTGAGTTTCGGTGTTGTGTAATATTTCTTGTGGGAACTATCCTCAGGTGATGTCTGATTCAGAGTTTCCATTAGGTTTGGGTCTTGCTTATACTGGTTCATAATTTTCTTTTTTGGTGCAGTTTGTAAAGGATTCAATGTCTTTGCAATATCTGGTTGAATTAAGGAATTTTCTTCATTTTCATTTTGAAGTTCCTTCGGGATTTCTGCTGACTGCAAACTTTCAGTTAAGGGGATTTGGTCTAAGTCATTCTCAGTATCACGCACCCCTGCATCCGTTCTGTCATAAAAAATTTCATTTATAACCGTATCATCAGCTAAAATAGTTCCAAATATAGAAGAATCAAACCTATATTCATCTACTGCATCATATGCATCGGGAATGCTCAGTTTTTCGTCTAAGGTATCTTCGTCGTATATTGAAAGAGGATCTTTTTCAGGAATCACTTCAGCATTATTAAGCGCAAGATAATCTTTCGTATCGATACCTTCGTCTATCAGTAAGTTATTCCTTTCACTGTCATTACTTTCTTCACTGGTAATATTAACTTCAGCTATTTTATGTTCGTATACATTGTTTGTTGGTAGACTAAATTTTTTTTTTTGTGATAAGAAATCATCTGGTTTAAAGTTTGCTACAGATGAAATGTGAGTCGCATTACGAGTAACTCGTTTATATTCAACACCTTCCTCGTTCAACAATACCTTTTTTGATCTTCTCTTTGACTGAGTATTTTGCTCCCCTACCACCTTCTTCTTCCTACCTCTTTTCTTCTCAGGTTGTTGTTCTTGCTGAAGTACTGCTACATGATCCAACATACTAGCATCCGGAATATGATAGGGAACAATTTCTTCATTGTGGACGTTCAGATCGTCTACAATTTCCGTACGACTGCTAGGTATTCCATCTGAAATTGTCTCCTCAGATACAGTTTCTGTAGTGATATCTCTTTCCACAGAAACATCAGAAACGTTTTCGTAAATTAGTGCATCCCCCAAATGAACGTCTGAATCGTAACTTTTTTCTGTTCCAGACTCCGAATTATCCACAACTACTTCCAGAAGTTCTTCAGTCTCAAATACTGTTGCCTCAAAATATTTTTCTTCGTCCGCTGAATACCTCGGATTATTTACTACATCAGTTTGACAAATTTCAATCTGATTTTCGATCAAACATTGTGATACATTTTCTACGTGAACAATATTTCCTATTTCATGTTTTGTACTATCTCCCTTGATATCTAATTTTTCAACAGAGGTATTATCACCAAAACCTTTCTGAGTTTCATCATTAGTTTTTGTCTCACGGGTGATGAATTTTTCTGTTTCAGAAGCTTGGGTATTTTCTTCAATATGATGAGGACGTTCTAGGGTATCATCGTTAGTCCTTGTCTCAAGATTAATATATTTATCTGTTTCAAAAGCAGGGAATTTCGATATTTCAGTTGGGCTTGAATCTTCCGCATCTAGAATCTTTCCACTAGTACTTTCCGGCTCAATCGATTTTTCATTTGATACTGCACTTTCATCAATAATAGGTCTTCGATAACTATCACTAGAAATATCTATTTTGGAGTCCAGGTTTTTGGCACTGCACTCCACATTAACGTCTTTAACATAACCATCCTTCAAGCCCTTATTATTTCCAATGTTTAAGATTTTTGAGCGTTCTAATTTTACGACCAACTGTAACTTCTGCATTGGCGTCTTCTGAAGGTCTGTATTATTATCCTCCTGAGGTAGTTCTTCCTTGGCAACAGTTAACTGACTAGCTGCTCCACCGACTATATTGTCAGTCCCAATTTGTGAAGTGACGGAACTTTCCAAGTCTTTAACGTTTTCTGAATCACCCACTTTAACTGTTGGATCTTTGATATCAAATGTAAGTTCTTTGGTCTTTCTGGAGAATGACTGAGTCTCGAAAGCATTTTGTTTTTTCGGTGAAGCAAGAACTATGACTGAGTGAACCACTATCTTGATGGTTTTCTCTTGGGTGTCTTTAGCAGTTATTGGCTCACATTCAGATATGTCATTAATGAGTTTTTCACTAGCAATATCAGACTGAGTTATCAATTCTGACCTTTCAGATTCAGTTGGAGAATCACCAACAGATTCCATCGGAATTTGAGATAGCTGCTTGATCCCAATTTCATGCGAGTCACCATTAATAACTGCTTCTTGATTGTCTAGGTCACTCGAAACTTGTTGAAATTTGTTGTTATTTTTAAGAACTGAATCTGAAGTTTCTTTTTGATCTGGAATATCAGAGATTTCGGTAATGGCGTCATCACCCAGTTCTAATTTATTGTTGTTTCCAGGAGCATCAGTGACAGCTCCTTTATTATTTACAGCTTGACAGTTTTTAAGAGAAATACTTCTTGTTTGACTTCTTGTCGTTCTACGAGTTGAAACACATGTTTGTTTAAGTGGAATATCCAATCTCTCAGCAACTGTATCATTAGATCTTGTCATCTGGGTGTCCCCAGAAGCTTCTTGACACTTTTTTAAAATTTTTGTCGCATCAGGATTTTCACTGACAACTTTATGCTTCCCTTTTAAACCTTCTTGGTCTATTTTTTTCTCGGCTGTTGCGGATTCGCAATTTTCAATATTGCTATCTTCTAAAGATTTCTCAACAATGTGCTTAGATCTTGATCTGGTTGTTATCTGGACTGTACTGGCACTTTCTTCACAAAATTTGTCTCCCTTGCAATCTTCAATAACATCTCTATCTGTGTCTTTCCTTTGCCTAGATTCTTCAACTACAATCTCCTCTACATCATTGTTTTCAAGAGAAATGTTAGCTTCTGCAACCGCACTTTTTGTATTCGATCTGGTTTGTATTATTATTTCCTGAACAACTGCTGCTGAATCTCCATTTTCTGATCTTCCACTGTCATTCCCATCCTTAAAAGGTATCCTTTGCTCCTCCTCAGACTCACAGGATGTGATATGCGGTGTTTTATGTAAAATTATTGTATTAATAGACTTATCCTGTCTAGAACGTTTAGCCTCTGGTGGAACATCTATTCGGTTGCTTTCCTGGTCGTCACCTATAACAATTTGTTTTAGCGATTCTTTTTGTGTAATATCATTCACAGTAGTAGAGTCTTTTACAGAGGTATGTAAATCGGGTCTTTTGACAAGTTTTGCTTCTAGTGAAAAGTTAGCTTCAGATACTTCGTTCAATTCACTGTTCGTTTTCGACCCGGTTTGTCTTGAGTTTATTACTTCCTGAACTGCAGCTGAATCAACATTTTCTGATTTCCCGCCTTCACCTCCATCCTCAGAAGATATCCTTTGCTCCTCCTTTGACTCGCAAGATGTGATATATTGTGGTTCATCTTGAATTATTCTATTAGTAGATTCATCCTGTCTAGAGTCAGAATGTATAGCCTCTGGTGGAACATCTTTTCTGTTATCGTCCTGGTCGTATATAATAATTTCTTTTAGTGACTCTTTTTGTGTCACATCGTTCTCCTCGGAAGTAAAGTCTTTTGTATGGGTATCTGAATCGGATTTTTCATCAATTTTTGCTTCATGCACATCAGAATTACTTTTTGAAGCAGTGTCAAAATCCGCCTGGTCAACTAATTCAACTTCATTGCTAACTGATGCTAATGAATCATGTGAACACTCATTGAGTTTATTTGTTACGGGACTATTCGCCATAGGTATCTGAGTGTTAATACCAGTGAAGTCTTCTGTGTTAGACAGAGTTATGCTGTATGCTACCTCATCACTGCTCTTTAATGTTCCCTCCTCTGGATTTCTACAAACCTGTACAATTTTGGTGCTTAGAGAATCACCACTATTTGGGCGAGGCGTGTTAAGGCTTATTATCGTTGATTCCAATTCATTTAAAATTTTGGCTGTTTCAAAATCCTCTTTAGACGCACAAGATGTGGTATGCTGTGTTTCATCTTGAATTATTGTATCAATAGATTCATCCTGTCTACAGTCAGAGTGTTTAGCCTCTGGTGGAACATCTGTTCGGTTCCTTTCCTGGTGGTCACTTATAACAATTTTTGTTAGTGATTCTTTTAGTGTAACATCATTCTCCACAGTAGTACAGTCTTTTGCAGTGGTATCTAAATCGGGTTTTTTGTCAATTTTTGCTTCTATTGTAACTTTAGTTTCATCAAGAACACTTTTCGTTTTCGACCCGGTTTGTCTTGAGCTTATTACTTCCTGAACTGCAGCTGAATCAACATTTTCTGATCTGCCTGTACCTCCATCCTCAAAAAGTATCCTTTGCTCCTCTTTAGACTCACAAGATGTGATATGCTGTGTTTCATCTTGAATTATTGTATCAATAGATTCATCCTGTCTACAGCCAGAGTGTTTAGCCTTTGGTGGAACAACTGTTCGGTTACTTTCCTGGTCGTCACTTTTAACAATTTGTTTTAGTGATTCTTTGAGTGTAACATCATTCTCCACAGTAGTAGAGTCTTTTGCAGTGGTATCTAAATCGGGTTTTTTGTCAATTTTTGCTTCTATTGTAACTTTAGTTTCATCAAGAACACTTTTCGTTTTCGACCAGGTTTGTCTTGAGCTTATTACTTCCTGAACTGCAGCTGAATCAACATTTTCTGATCTGCCTGTACCTCCATCCTCAAAAGGTATCCTTTGCTCCTCTTTAGACTCACAAGATGTGATATGCTGTGTTTCATCTTGAATTATTGTATCAATAGATTCATCCTGTCTACAGCCAGAGTGTTTAGCCTTTGGTGGAACAACTGTTCGGTTACTTTCCTGGTCGTCACTTTTAACAATTTGCTTTAGTGATTCTTTGAGTGTAACATCATTCTCCACAGTAGTAGAGTCTTTTGCAGTGGTATCTAAATCGGGTTTTTTGTCAATTTTTGCTTCTATTGTAACTTTAGTTTCATCAAGAACACTTTTCGTTTTCGACCCGGTTTGTCTTGAGCTTATTACTTCCTGAACTGCAGCTGTATCAACATTTTCTGATCTGCCTGTACCTCCATCCTCAAAAGGTATTCTTTGCTCCTCTTTAGACTCACAAGATGTGATATGCTGCGTTTCATCTTGAATTATTGTATCAATAGATTCATCCTGTCTACAGCCAGAGTGTTTAGCCTTTGGTGGAACAACAGTTCGGTTACTTTCCTGGTCGTCACTTTTAACAATTTGTTTTAGTGATTCTTTGAGTGTAACATCATTCTCCACAGTAGTAGAGTCTTTTGCAGTGGTATCTAAATCGGGTTTTTTGTCAATTTTTGCTTCTATTGTAACTTTAGTTTCATCAATAACACTTTTCGTTTTCGACCCGGTTTGTCTTGAGCTTATTACTTCCTGAACTGCAGCTGAATCAACATTTTCTGATCTACCTGTACCTCCATCCTCAAAAGGTATCCTTTGCTCCTCTTTAGACTCACAAGATGTGATATGCTGTGTTTCATCTTGAATTATTGTATCAATAGATTCATCCTGTCTACAGTCAGAGTGTTTAGCCTCTGGTGGAACATCTGTTCGGTTTCTTTCCTGGTGGTCACTTATAACAATTTTTGTTAGTGATTCTTTTAGTGTAACATCATTCTCCACAGTAGTAGAGTCTTTTGCAGTAGTATCTAAATCGGGTTTTTTGTCAATTTTTGCTTCTATTGTAACTTTAGTTTCATCAAGACCACTTTTCGTTTTCGACCCGGTTTGTCTTGAGCTTATTACTTCCTGAACTGCAGCTGAATCAACATTTTCTGATCTGCCTGTACCTCCATCCTCAAAAGGTATCCTTTGCTCCTCTTTAGACTCACAAGATGTGATATGCTGTGTTTCATCTTGAATTATTGTATCAATAGATTCATCCTGTCTACAGCCAGAGTGTTTAGCCTTTGGTGGAACAACTGTTCGGTTACTTTCCTGGTCGTCACTTATAACAATTTGTTTTAGTGGTTCTTTGAGTGTAACAATATTCTCCACAGTAATAGAGTCTTTTGCAGTGGTATCTAAATCAGTTTTTTTGTCATTGTTTGCTTCTAGTGTAACGTTAGCTTCCGCAACAACACTTTTCGTTTTCGACCCGGTTTGTCTTGAGCTTATTACTTCCGGAACTGCAGCTGAATCAACATTTTCTGATCTTCTGCCTTCACCTCCACCCACAAAAGATATTGTATTAATAGGTCCATCCTGCCTTCGTTGTCTAAAAAAGTAAAGAGTTAGTAGTTAACATGCAACAGACATGACAAAAAATCGCAATAGGCTTAGACTCTATACTAGATTTTGTATTGTAGACATCATGAAAAATCCAAAAACTGCTGTGCTGTGCTAAGTAATTGAGAAACAAAATTTTGATTATTAAATTTCAACACTAAGGGCGCACCGGTACTGGTCCGATTTTACCAAGTACTCGGTTTCACCTAGTCTTAAATTACTCGACAGTGTTACTCTTGTCTGTACGCGAGTACACCAAACATTAGTGAATCAAAGAAACGCTTTTAACAACACCATCCTGATATACACTTATTTATAAAGTAAAAACATGCAGAAAGTCAACGTCCCACCAAAAAATTTCAACAGGGTGTTTCTGAAGGTTGGCATATGGTTTCAAGATCCATCTATCACACCAGAATCGACCACTGCGGAAAGCGGCGTATAGCTGCTAATAGTTGGAACTGTTAGGGATCTCAGTTCACGTTTAATAGCCTAGGCACCACGTGACCGCTAGATGGCTGACGATTCTGGCGGTAAAGTAGCTGTGGTCTACTTGCCATCGAATAAACTAAATATGATGCTTTCGTCTGACCCACCAAAAAGTCATATTTCGATAGTCTGTACCTTCGGTATAGAGGATAGTTGCGATGTTTCGTTTGTTTGTCCTGAGACAAGAGACCAAGCCTAGACCATGATGCTGAGTAGCCAAGAAGCACGAAGAAACAGCTGTCCATGGTTGGCTGCCTTTTTGGTCAGACGGAAGAAAGCATCATGTTCAGTCTATTCAATGGCAAGTAGACTACATCTACTTTACGGCCAGAATCTTCAGCCATCTAACGGTCACGTAGTGACTGGTCTATTAAACGTGAAGTGTGATCCCTAACAGTTCCAACTAACAGCTGTTGTGTGCTTGCCGCAGTGGTAGATTCTGGTGGTGTGATAGATGTCGCTTTGTGCTGTTTTATCTCGATAGACTGTATCTCTGGTATAGAGGAAGGGGCGATGCTTTCGTTCGCTTGACCAGAGACAAGAGGCCAAATGTGCGGGCAAAATCCCTTTTACCCGCCTATGCAAAGCTAGCTAGCAAAAGACAAAGAAGGGATGGAATGGCAGCATCACAAGGGCTGGTAGGTTATAGATGTAACTTTATTATTCAACCAGATGATATTAGCCTTCAGCTAGAAAATTTTTGGAAAACACAGGAACCACATAATTCAGGTAATGTAATAGTAATTGATGAAGAGTTGAAGTGTGAGAAATTGTTCTCTGAGACCACCAAGAGAGCCGATGATGGATAATTTGTAGTCAAACTACCTCTTTGTGACAAAATTGGAAAGCTAGGTGATTCTAGAATCAGTGTTTTGAGGAAATATACTGCATTAGAAACAATATTAGACAAAAATAAGACAATACCATCAAATTACTTAAGACTTTATGGATGAGTATCAAGTTTTGGGCCATAAGACTTTGGATATGGATAAGGTAAGTAGTGATTATTACTTTCCACATCATGGAGTCATTAATGAGAATAGCTTGACTATAAACCTTAGAGTTGAGGCTCCTCTTAAATCTTTGACAATCCCACGGTTAAAGTTATGTGGAGCTTTGGTGTTAATAGAACTAGTACATCGGATAAAAAATGCAGTAACTTTTCGAGATATCTCAAATGCGTTTTATTTAAAAAGAAAGATGTCAAGTCATTAATGGAAAACCCTAGATATCATTTAATTCAGAAAATGCAGCAACGTTTCTAGTCGCGGTGGACCAAAGAATATTTGGTGGAGCTCCAGAAATGCCACAAGTGGCAACAGCCGCAACTGAACTTAACGACTGGACAAATGATGGGTATCCCTTGCAGTGGCGGATTGAAGAAGCAGTTAATGGTCCAGATGGGCACTGTCCTGCGGTGATGGTGCGAACTTCAGCAGGAATTGTCAAGAGGCCAGTGACGAAGGTGTGTTTCCGACACAGTGACGCGTTCGTTGTTTTGGAAGTGCTTTCCAAGGTGGGGGATTATGTGCCGGCAATGGTTATGTGAAATCGAGGAATTACTAGTGACTTTTTTAAATTTCCTAAAAGGATGATTTCCGTTTTCCTGTCTTGTCGGGAAAGACACATTGGCTGTTCTGTAGAGAAATGTAAAAAAGGGGAATTGGAAGAACGAAGTCTTTACTCTGAACAACCTACAGAACGTTGGAGAAGACAAAACACCAACCCTACACCATGCTGATGAGTAACCAAGACGCACGAAATAGCTGTCTATGGTTGGCTGTCTTTTTGGTCAGACAAACGAAAGCATTATGTTTAGTTTATATGGTTTCTGAATTCCATAGGGTGTTCCAAACTTTATGTAAAAAACATACATCAGGTGCAATATTGTGGAGATAAAAACAGTTTACTTTGCAGAAACTGTAAATGCACTAATGTACTAGAGGAGATATCCACTGAAAAAATCCTTCAAATCAGTCAGCAGGTTCCAACAAGTTATTTTTTGGCTTCAGATTGGTGTCAATGTTTTCTCAGAAGCCTTTGCTATGGATATCAATGAATTGCCATTAGTTTGAATTTTGCAAAAAAATCGAGCAAAGTGTGTCCAAACAATACTTCTTAATCTAGGAGTAAATGGCAATAGAATATATGGCAGGTGAACTGATGGGAATCACATACAAGTTCCAGTGTCATATCTAAAGCATAATGAAATGAACCTTTTCATGATTGTAACGTGAAGCGAAAATCAATTGAATCTTTCAATTCACATAGTGTCATTGGGAGATCTGGGGCTCCTGAATAAGCATTGAGATGCATAATGAATTAAACCTTTTCATGATTGTAACGTGAAGCAAAATCAATTGAATCTTTCAATGCACATAGTGTCATTGGGAGTTTTGGAGCTGCTGATTCAGGCAAATATTTTTTCTATAAAAAGCCAGAAACTCACCTGTGAGGTTCATTAATTGGAGTCTCATAGACAATTTCGACATCACTGTCATCATCCAGGCAAATGGTTACAATACCTTTGCTTTCTTTACTCTGTTTATCAAACTGTTTCAACTCCAGGTCCAGTGTAAGGTCTACATTCTCATTATTTTCTTTCATAACTGGGTCAACCTTACAAAAAATCATGACATGTCAATGCACAAAGAAGTTAAATTCTGAGATGTGCATATTCTTTGAACAGGATAATTTGCATATCTTATAAACAAGATTACATTATAATTGGAGAATTATTACACAAACGCATACAAAAAATTACCTGATTATCTGGGTGAAAACTATTACCAACATAGTCACTTGCAGTAATCTTTTCAAAAATTTTAATAGCACTGTTATCCTTCAAATAGCTATCCATAGAACAAGGCAGGTGTTTACTTGTAAGGGTAAGTGCATCATCTAACTGCCCACTTCTCCTTAGCAATTTCCTGAAAATATGATATATTCTTATTAGCATATTACCATTAACATATTACCTTAGAAGATGCCAATCCTATGCTTGATTGATCTGATTCTTTAAATTTCTTATGGAACCCGACAGATGATAGTAAATGGAATGCAGGAAGGAAATGGCATCGCGACAAAATGTTCACACAAAAATTAACCTATTAGTATTGACAAAACAATATGAATAAAACAGACACTTACACTACAATATTTTCAATAACCATATGATTTACATCATAGTACTTCCTAAACTTCACACAAAGGTTAATAATAGCCTTTGCTGACTCCTGAAATATCTTATCTGCTGGCACCAAATGCTTTGTGATGTAAGCATTGTAAATGTGCAGCAGAAGTCTCAAAATTCTATCTTCTACCTGTTGTTCTGCCTTTGGTGGGTACTTGTCGCGCTTGTACAGTACCTTGCATTCAAGAAAGATGTAATGAAGCAGCAGTTGTTCAAAGGCGTATGTAAAAGGATATCTGGGTGAGTTCTACAAGAAATAAAACAATATTACATCAAAAAGATATTAGCTTAGACAAGTGAAATGATCAGGTTTACTGTTACTATATACTTTTCTGTGGAAACGTCAAATCTATATAGGTCATAAAACGGTTTTTTCAAATGTTACCAGGTATAAAATCCACTATAAAATATTTTGGGAGCTACAAGTCATGATAAAGTTTGGCAAATATGTTAGGACACTTTTTAATGATTTTGTGTGTTTTCTTTCTTTGTTTATTTATTTAGCATGATTGCTACAATTACGTTCTTTTAAAAACTACATCAACTATATTCAGAAGAAAAAAACTTCCATCTCTAAGAATTTTAACTGCCTTTTCCTTTGATTTTCTTTTAAACATTTTTAAATTACAAGTAGACTTTATATCATTATAAAGTTTATTAAATTCAAGTAATACCTTCTGAAATATTGATTTGCTGGTTATGTTATTATTGCAATTTTGTAAATTGAAATCTATGTTTCCTCTTGAATAATGTTTATGGTAATGATTTAATTCTATGTAATTTTCTAAATGTTGTGGCAAGAGATGACTTTTTATTTTAAATACGAAAGTAAGAACCAAATATAGGAAATTTTTTATATTCAAGCACTGAAATTCTTGTAACAGATTTTATTTTGGTGTTATTTTTACTCAATATTATTCTCATAGTTTTATTTTGTAGGACTTCTAATTTTGAGAACACAACTTCATTGGCAGTGAACAGGGTTGAAAAATATAGTAAATGAGGTAGAATAATTAAACTATGTTTTTGGATTATGTACTACAACTATGAGATGATCTACAAAAGTAATTTGATTTTGACAATTTTTGATATAATGTACACTGAGTGATCCTCAAACTTTAGTTTACTATCTATATATATATATATATATATATATATATATATATATATATATATGCCCGAATATTTAACTGGTTCAACTTCTTCAATTTTCTCACTATTTGTCCTAACTGTGATAGTATTTGCATTCAAGTACTCTATTAGCATACATTTTGTTTTAGAAGCATTTAATAGATCTGCTGAAAAAACAACATGCTGTTTTCTAGAAAAAATATTACATCAACCTGGATTTTCTTGAGGACTCGAAAACTATAAGCGCTATAGTAACTAAACTATTTACAACTTTGTATATGATAGTTTTAGACACTGACAATGGTTTAGAAGATAATCGCCACTCAATCCTACGCCATATGTAATCTGTGCTGGTCGCTTGACAGTCAAGTCATAAAGTTCATGAAGTGATTACAATATTGTTTTGTGTCCAACATGTTTGAAGCGTCGCATTTTTTCAAAAAAAATACCAATTATCATGTACTTTCCGTGACGCCTTCAAGGCTTGGAAATCGCGCTGGCAGCGCTGCATCGACGCAGAAGGAGCCTATTTTGAAAGTTTTTAAAGAATTATAACGATTGGCTCAATAAATTTTTTTAAATCGACTCAGTCCTATTACTTTCCGGACAAACCCTGTATGTAAGGATAAGCTCACAGTTTTTCAAGTTCGGAGTTTCATTGACAGGCAGGAACAAGGTCATAATGCTGATAGTGTTAAAATTAATATATTGATATAGTTGTAGTTACCTTTCTTGGCGGGTCAATGTAAGACTATCAGTTTCCCTTTATATATCTCCATCTCCCTCATACATACACATGCAACCTAGTCCTGTGTGTGAACGTTTGTTCGCTAAGCTCAAAAGCATACGTTTTTTAGTTGTGTGTCTCCATCTCGAAAACTTTGTCGTTACTTATGAGTGCCCTGAATCATATTTGTCAGTGGCAACTTACTTGACATCAGCGTGCAATTTGAGCTGTCCTGTTATCAATCTTCAATATAAAATTGTACAATGCCCGAAAATACGATCAATGGAGAAGGCCGACAGCTCGTGCTAAATTTATTAGAGTATCTCCAGGAAGAGAATGAAAACAGCAGTCCCCTGTTACCCACTTCATGCGTACTGGAAAGTAGCAGATGCGCTGAAGATTAGTCTGCGCAGTGTTCAGCGGATAAAATCAGAAAATAATGAAGGTTGCCCATAGACCTGGGGAAACTCACAAAATCAAAAAATGCTAGACCGATGATGTAAGTAATGCCAGCAAAACAGAAATTAGGAATACTTTCTACGATATGAGAAGTAAAGGACAACATATCACGACCTCTGCGCTCAAGATCCGCCTATGGTACGGAGACTCTATCTGTTTACTTATTTCATATGGCGTTGATGACATAACCGCTAAGAACGGTGATTACAACTATATGATTAACAGTAGCAACTGCTTGTTAACTAGAGTGTCTCAATGTTTGGCTAGATACTCGAATGTACCGAAGAAGTAGTTTTTGTTGATTGCATACACTTTCTTTAACAAGGAATCGCATATAATCTATCAATGGTGTCATATTAAAGACTACTGTTTTAAATTGTTTTCCTTCGATTCTAGAAATAGGGACAGGTGTCTACAATGAAGTCATTCTATTATGATTCAAGGCAATGAGAGACATCTTCTAATGACATTGTCATCAAAAGCAGCTAATTTATCCTCGTCAGTAGCCAAATTCAAATCTCACTTGGTTGATTTGATCTAAATGCGTTTTGGTCTTTTCACTGTGACAGTGGTCATCATCAACCACAAATCCAACTTGGAGGACTAAATCCATTTCATAGAACTGCAATGCTTTCCAACAAGTAGCAGTTGACTGAGGATATACTGGTATTAATGAGCATTGCTTTTCACTGTGACCCAAAATCTTTGAAACTCCCCAATTAGTATAGAAACTTGCCTCTGATGGGAGGAATGGCCCAATTAAACTTGTACACAGTTTGACATGATTTGCACTCAAAGCAGACGCGGACAGTAAGGAATGTAAGTGGACACCCGATATACGATATGGGGGCATTTACAAGTGGAGTCACCTTTTTTCTTGGCACACATTAATATTGAAAGGTCATTATCTATAAAACCATCGACTTGACACTAAAGGTCATCATATATTAAGTTGTAGATGATTTTATTGAGATTATTTTTCACCCTATGCATGTCGATAGTATTTGAAGGAAGTCCAGGTTGAGAAAACATTTTTTTCTAAAAACAAACTGCCGCCATTTTGTCTTTTGGAAAGGATGCTAACAATAGTTTCAACCAACGTTTTTGATAAACAATGCTACATGTACATTTTAATAATAATGTACATCAAATAATTGCATCACATCCTAACTGAAAGTTTAAAGATGTGGAAAATTGAGAATGTGAGTCAAAAAAAGATTGTAATGCATATATTATTATACTGAGTGACAAAAAAAAAGGTAAACACCTATGTATGTTTATTAGAATTCAAGAATTTTTTACATATCGATTCATGAACAACAAGTGATAAAATGGTCAGGTTTTCTGTTAAGTTTTTGTGGTGGCTGCGCGTATTGTTTGGTGATAAAGAAGCATTCAAGGACCAAGAGATCCTTACGCCGAAGTATACATCAGTGTGTAAGAGCGTAGCCTATGGAAGGCCGAGGACAGAGAGCGAAGGGTTCTGGACATCCCAGAGGGACCACAGAGTGACAAGACCATCAGATAAGACTTCTGGCTCTGAGAGACAGATTTAGTAGTACTCGAGCCAGCAAGCTCGTTGGTCCTGAGCCAGCTCTAGGAGTAACCGCGCATAAAGCTAGGAGGAAAATGGAGACGTGGGTTGCAAGACAACAGTCTCAGAAATGGAAAAGTATCTCCAGACATCTCCGCCAGGCACGGAAACTCGTTGAAGGGCCCAGTGCTATGGATGAACGTTTCTGCCTATCTCTGGATAGAGCCAACCTAAGGTTGCTGGTGGGACTGTTGTCTGGCCATAACACGTTAAGGCGTCACCTACACGTGATGGGGGTGGCTGAGGATCCCTTGTGTGAACGCTGCGGGGTAGAGGAAGAGACCTCGGCGCACGTTTTGTGTCGCTGTGAAGCTATGAGCTACTATAGGCAGACTATACTGGGGTCCATTACTTTGGACGCTCAGGACATCAAGGAGCTTGGACTCAAGGCGATTCGCAACTTCGCTAAAAGGGCGAGGCTTGTGATCTAAGGATTGTAGAGGTGCATAAGGGCCCGCTTAAGCGGCCTATGCACTGGCTCCTTATGGTGGCCGGATTGCCTCTAATTTCAAGATTCATTCATTCATTCATTCATGGGACCGGGAATGGAATCAGGTGGTCTTTAGTGAAGAGTCCCGCTTCTGTCTGGGGCGACAGTGATAGACGTGACCCACAATTTGACAGAGAGCATCACATTCACCAAACCATGTGAGTTATGGTATGGGATGCTATTGCTTATAGTAGCAGATCAACACTAATTTTCATCAGTGGAAATATGACAGTCCGACACTATATTCAGGTAGTAGTGGAGGCTCATCTTATTCCATACCTAAACATCATTCAACACCAGATTTTTCAGTAAGACAATGCCAGGCCGTATGTTGCCAGAGCATTGTTAGCCTTCATGGATCAACATCACAACAACCTTTGAAATTCGCCACCATGATTGCCTGACTTATCTCTTGAACTTTCAACACCCTCCACAGCTCTTACTCATGAAGTTGCAGTAGCCTGGAATGAAATACCCCAACAGGATATCAACAACATTATCAGCACGGTGCCCAGGCATGTCGATGGGTGTATAAGAAATCGTGGATCCTCACATTATTGAAACAGCTTCTGCAGTCAGTTAATGAATCAGGCTAAAAATTTAATTATTTTACGAGTAAGATAAACATACCTAGGTGTTTACCTTTTTTTTCACTTAGTATATATCAAAATAATAAATAAGATTCTCAAAACTGATAATTCTTACATTTTATAAACACAGCATATTAGGGTCACCCAAAATTTTCCAGACTCTGGACTACTTACTAGTTGCATATAAAAACAAATGTTTAACAAAAAAAATCTGACAGTTTCTCAAAAAAAAAAACTATAATACAGTTCCATTAAATAAAAAAAAATAATTCCATTCAATTCTCCATCAATTAATATATAGTATTTATCCAAAAAAACAAAAAAAATTAAAAGGAAAGTTTATATAAAATTATTCTCAAACATTTTAACTTACCTCAGCAACTTTCTTGTTAAAATTATGCAAGTAGAGGATTTGTAACCTAAGCTCTCTAACAAATCCAGAGGTCTCTTTGATAAAATTTCTAGTGTTCTTAACATATCTGGAAATTATAATAGGTGTTGTTTCATCTTAGTCATCTCATTATATATGTATATCACAATTGATTAATAAAGTTTTAAATATATTTTATATGAATAAGATGATTATATTTCAAATGAGCATCTTATGTTATTCAGTAGGTTTCCTTTCTTCATTTTTTCTTCCTCTATTTTCTTCTTGAGTCTTCTTTCTTCTATAAATCTTCTTTGTAGATATCACAGTTCCTTCAATCATGTGTTCTGACTATTTGATTAATTAAAGCAATACATCACAAATGTTAAAACATTCAAATTGAAATAACTTTATAAACAATTTAGCTTATTATTATTGATAAATGGACTATTGAGTTATCAAAATTATTAATCGAAAATCCACATTCCAATATGTCCTGCTATAAACCAGAGAAAAAGCATTAAAGCATACATCATGAATTATATAACAACTTATTTATCTACAATCTAAATAAATACCTTTCAAAACAGAGTGCAATGCGATTTGATGATTCATCAGTGTAGTCTCCATCAAAGAGAGGCCGAAGAGCTGTTCTGAGAGTTGCACTTCTGGATAAAGCTGAAAAACAAACCACATGAATGTGAATATAATGTGATCGTTAACTATTATTGTATTGTGCCAATAAGCTTTAGATTAAAAATAGCCCAAATAAGATGTTTTATACCAAAGATGTGATGTATTAAACAACAAGGTGTACATACCTTTATGAAAATTATTTTCACGCTGGAAGCTTCTGTAGGCGAGAGGCTCCTCTATTTGTTTGGATATATCTTTACGTCCTAACATTATTCTCTAAAAAAATATTTCTTTTCAATGAGCGTCCCAGGTATTTGAAATGCATGCATGTTCGCGAAATGTTATCATTTTAATCCTACACTATTTACTTGGTAATTGAAAAATAGAAGTGTTAAACATGCTCTATATCGCAAACTAGAACACCATTATCATTGAACGTGTAATTACGTACTTACAAATATTAGTATAGAGCTATCCACAATATATTTCGAACATCACGCTACTACATAAATATAAATCCATGAGAAATAAAAGTTAAAAGGAATCGCAATTTCACATATTCTGGCACTCATGTTTTTGTTGAGGCAGATAGCCTTCAACTCGCCCGTCTAATCATGGAATTTCAATGCTGCCAACGTCGAAACAAAAAAGTTACCAACATATCCTTGTCTTTCTATCTTAAGTTTTGAGGCAGTTTCGTAATTTATTATTTTGGAATTGTTGTAAAAATTATTGCTTTGTTACATTTTCGACATTTTCTCTAGAATATTTCAGTTTAAATTAAGAAAATTGTTTTGTTTTGGGTGTTTTTGACAGTAGTTGGCAGTGCTGCCACAATCTTACGTCAACCAATGAGGCAAGGAAAGAAATTAGGAGCATTTGCCTTCAGCTGCAAATTGTTCCCTTATGTGACATGGCGTCTGATAGGAAAGTTAGTTCTTGAACGGGATCAGGCGTTATTTAGGTTTTTATGACATCATTTGACGAGGCGGCTTGCTGTAAAAGCCAAAAACATTATTCAGAGACTTGCATTGATGGTAATGCATGCAAGGAAAACGCAACGGATGAACGATGGGTAGGCATTACGGTCGTTTGACACAACCTCCAGTCTGGAGTAATATTTACCTTTATCCGTTTTCAAACGTTAATTCACTGGATTTTAACATTACTAATGCGAATTATTTTCTCTTTACAGGTACTTCGAGAAGCACCAAGCCCACCCGTATCAGGTAAACAAATTAGCCTAGACTTGAACGGTTTTCCGAGGGTCCAATTTTTAATCCCTCTAATTGCATTTTGTTGATGTGGAACCTATTTCCAGATGGTAATCTACCTGAAAATGCTTACCAGTAACCCTTGCGCCTGATTAGAGTTTGTTATAAAAATAGATACTTTTCCAGACACATTTCCCACCACACGTCAAATTCCAATTTTTTATACTTTGCAATATTGCATAAAAATTGCGGGCTACAAAAATCGGAATTGAAGTGATGTTATTGGCTTCTAAACTAATTAAAAACTGCTCTGAATCATTTTTTCCCAAAAATTGTGAGTAGTTGTCAAAACATAATAGTAAACATGGCTACCTTTCTTACATATAATCTAACCTACATTAAAAATCTTTTATGTGTTTTGGAAAAAATCATCAAATATTGAAGTTTTATTGTGTTTTCATTATAGAATTTGATGTATGTACTTTAATATTCCTATCATCAGAACTTTCAAAAAGAGGAATGAAGAGGCTTTGCATCAGTTTATTATCAATGTTATTGCAGGAAATTGAGAATTTTTATAGGATTTTCATTAATAGTTCTTAATGTACAACAAAACAGTTGTATTAATAATTTTTGATAAACTGTTGATATAACTTGTCCATTCCCAAATATGCTTGACTTCCTAATGACAGATTCAGACCAAGTACTTGATTCTTTTCAACAATGAATTTCTGATAGGTCTGAATGGGCATTTACAATGGAACAGATCTTTTATAGCTAGGCAACATCACATCATTAATTTGGAATTGATGTGAAATAATTAAAAAAATCAATAAGATTTTTGATGAGGTTAATCTTAGAAGAGCATTTGTAAATTGTTACACAAATTCTAATCATTAGACTCCAATATAAATAAATACACAATACTACTATGCCAATGTTTTATTGTGAAACTTATATAGCAAATTACTATTGAATGGCACATGGAAGAGCTTCACCAATAAGCGCACTAACAATCTAAAACATTTTGAAGTTTTAAAATGCATTTCTTGATCTGTGAAGTTATGGAACTGTTCTATAAAATTTTTGTCTACTCTTTGTATTATTTAATGTCAAATAGAATTAGAGTCATCACACATGTATTCACGTAAGTGTCTTTTTCTGTACACTTTTTTTTACTCAAATGGTCAAACATTTTCTGAAGGAATTAAAAATATGTCGACATATTCATTTAATAGGGTTTATTCACCTTTTTTTCACACCCTGAAATTCTCAACTATACACAGTGGTGGAATTAGTTTATCTGATGTGTGTGTATACTGTTTTTTCCCTTCAGAACTTTTAAACCAGAGTACTTGCATAGTATCAGTGTGGTATTTGAAAAACCATGGATTTTATGAAAAAATTTATTGATAAAATAAGGCAAGAGTTGTAAATAAACAGCCTTGTGCCTGCAGAACCATAGAAAAAGCCAGATTTTACATTCAATATCTGAAGTGAAGAAGGAAGAGATCAATTGTATCAAGTAGATGCAGATCAAAATATAATTCAAGTGCATTTCAATGTTCCTCCTTACAGAACGTAAAACAGTACTACTTCTATATTCTTAATTTGTCAGAAAATGACATGATAGTTGTGACTATTGTCTCAGCATAAGCTAGAGGTGCATAACACTGATGAGCCCAACCACAATGGATGTATGAATTAATTAGGCTTTTGATATTCAAGCACACTGCTGTAAAACTTGACCATAGTGGAGAGACTTTCCACCGTAATGCATCTGAATGCTGCAATTCAGGCAGCTTCAATAACTTGAGACTTTATTATTGCCGTTCAATCCTCTTATACCCTCTATCCTCACAAGAAATTAAAATGATTGTTGATGCAAACTTGTCATTTGACAATCTTTAGCATTCCCATGTGACTCAGTTATTTCTTGTTTTGAAAGAAAAATAAGCCACAAATCTCTTCTTACAGAACATATGACAGTTGGAAAATTTGTGATTTGTGTGTAGAGAATTATCCATAAGAGATATATAATATAGCTGCATTTCACTATCCTGTTGTGCATATTCATGTAGCAATTGTTATATCCAAATAAATCCATGAATTGACATAGCAGACAAACATTTTTGCAGAAAGATAGCATACTAACCTAATTGCTGTTAATTCTTGTAGAACTTTTATGTTGGGAATATTATACTGGCATTTAACCATTTTATACACCTCTCACTGCCACCCATTTGTGAGGATTTATTTTTCTGGCAGCATTTTGTGTACAATTTTGAGGCTTGGTGGTTTTGTTTAACTGTTTATCGTTTGCACAACTACCAATCTCTCAATTAATTTTTCAGGCAAAATTAAAATACCCCAATACTAAAATAACTGCCAAGGTACTTCTCCAACCAATATACTTTTCCTTAATCTTTTATTTCTTTTTCCTTTATTTCGCTCTGACATTGTCTGCTATCTGAAAATAAAACCTGACATAATTATTGACTTACAGTACTACAATCTTTAAAACAATTTTTGAATATAAAGAGATTAGGAAGTTGAAATATATAAATGCCAATGAAAAGTCCATTGGTATCTTTTGAATGTTTCTCAATATTCTTTGGTTCAACATTCATATCCTAATGAATAGGTTAGGCCCCTTACAGTAATGTACCTGTCTGATATATTCAGAACCTCCAATGTTTGTTCAATAGCTAGAGTATTTATTTCCAGTCAAATTAATTTTCATTTTTATTTATTTTATAATAATATTATATACAAGGTAGAGTAAGTTTCACTTACGTTAGACATGTTTTTAGTCGCTCTCGTTTTATGTTTTTTTTTTGTAGTTTCTAGTACAATCTATTGCAAAGTGGTGTTAGTGTATTTGAAAGGAATGTACAACCTAAAGAATGGATTAAAATCTTTAAGTACCTAAGAAAAGGGGACAAAGTAGCTCCCTTAGCACACTTACCTTACAAAAAGAGGAGATGAATGAAATAATATTTGGCAGTGAACAGGTTTCCAATAAAAAAACAACAGAGATAAAAATTGGTGCAAAAAGGTGTGGTACTGACGAAATTGTAAGCCTGCGTGAAAGAAATGTACAAGGTGATAATTCACAGTTAAATAACAAAAATGATACATACGAACATATGAAATTCAAATCAAAAAATTTCTCATATACTTATGTGGAGGCAAGTTGAAGCCTATCTAACAAGGAAGTCAAGAGACTAGTAGAACTCAAATAGTACAACTACGAAGTTATGCCAGTATTTTAGGCGGAAAGGCAGTAAGTTCAACCAAAGAACAAATAAGCAAGTGGAAGAACCATGGACGAGTCCACCAGAAAATCGGAAACTTGAGACAATCAGAAGACTGAACAAAAATACAGAAAATGCTAAGGTGGTCAGAAGTAGACTTAACAAGGGTTGGCGCAAAAGGATACTACTGAAGGAAGCTTGAAAAATATTAGGCTATTACAATCACAGGTAGTAATGGTAGAAAGCCACACTGAAAGCCAACAACAGAAACTGAGAAACATATTGAGAGGTAAGAAAGACATAACAAATAAAACATCAGATGGAATAGATCCTATGCTCATGGTCACAGGAATTTTAAAAAGGATACAAGGCACAAGAATTCATAGATGAACCGATAAGGCTGAATTAAACTATAGTGTCACAGATAAAATCAAGCTCATTACAAAGAAGAACTGCCATAATTCACATAAAGAAAACTGGATTTTACAAGCACCGCCTGAAACATGGTCAGATAAACTTCGATTTGATATGAGTCTATGTTAGAAATTTGGCAATCTGTTTCAGATGCTCAAATTTTGGGCACATTGCTGAGTACTGCAAACAGTAGCCATGTTGCTACAAATGCTCAGCTAAGTATGAAACACCAGTTGTTAGGAACATGATTTTAAATATTCAAATTGGCAAAAAATATAGTGACTTTAATCACTCTGCCTGCGATCCAAATTGCCCAGTCTACACATCGAGAATAAATTCAGAAATAAGATCAATTACAGCCATAATTTTCAAACATAAACATTGAACAAATTGATACTGATGAGTTTGACAGCTATGACTCTCTCAAGCAAATAAAGGAATACAACAGAATAGCTCTACTCCATCAAAATGTCCAGTCCCTTAGAAACTCAATAAATAAGGTAAACAGATAATAGCAACTGTAAATTCATTGGCATCACTGAACACTGGAAGAGTCGAGACCAAATTATCAACTTGTGAGAGGGGGAGTTCAGTGCTCGGAAAGGTCAGATATAAGATCATCTGCGTCAGGTTCCCTGGAGTGTGCTGCAGTAAAATGTTCCTTATATGGGTTGAGCTTCATAATATTGTCGATATATAGACCACTGTCAGGTAATACGCATGTATTTTCAGAAAAAAACGAATTCTCCTGAAAATCCGCCACAGTGACAGTGCTACAATTTTCACAGCCGGAGATTTCAAAATAGATTTTTCTCAGGAAAGTCTGAACAAACTCTAATGTTCACTTTTAAATTCATATGATTTACATCAAACAATATACCAATACACACGCATAACATCCACTAGTGGATCTTGTATTGGCAATATTTTCACCAACGTCTCAACTTATGTATCTAATGACATTAATTCATTAATCTCAGATCACCCTGCTCAAAAAATAACAATGAAGATTAATATGCACGAACTTGATAATGTTATACAGAAAACCAAATTCAGTTCAAAAAATAAAGACCTCAGATCTATAAACTGACAAAAATTACTTCAAATTTCTCAGTATGATGTAAACAAACAAAGGAATTATTTTAGCTGTATATTTCAATCTATTTTTGACCAATCGTTTCCCATGTAAACGATAAAAGTGACAAATAGGCTTCCTAACCCACATCATCCTCATCAGAATAATATTAAGGAATGTAGGGACTGACTGGATGTTCTATATGTTATAAGTAACAGTGACAATTCCTATAAACCATGCTATAACAAAGTCAGAGGAGAGCACAATCTATCATTAACTAATGCCCGATATGTCATATCAAAAATATATATAGTATGCAAGAGTCAGATAATAAATCAAAATGTGTGTGGAATATAGTAAATGAAATAAAAGGTCAAAATAGAGATGACTGTGTTATGCCTGAAGTCATAGCACATGCTATCAATGAATACTGTATTAATGAAGTAATTAAGTAAGTTAAGTAATGAAGGCACCAGTACATAACTTTTCTGACTTTTTAGACCATGTGCAAGAGTAGATGCCGGTAGAATATGTGAGTGCTGTAGAACTAGTATAACTTGGCAAAAGACTCTAAACTAAAATGAGTGGTGGTGATGATGGCATTCCAGCTAGTATTTTAAATATTGCTTAGAACTGATTCTGGAACCTTTGGTTCACATAATAAACAACTCACTTAGGCCCATATCGTCAGTCATCCCTACAAATGTAAGGCGCCTCCGTGTCAGCGCTCTATTTTTAGGTTATGTCACAAACATCTATTTGCATCAAATTGTGCTTGCTTTTGAGTTCTATCATGTTTTATCAGCCTAAAATTTCCTACAATTTAAAAAGAAAACATATCTTCACAATAGGAGAGCGCTGACGCTGACACGGGACAAGTGTAATCTAGAAATTTTTGAAGGAGAGAAAGGACTATGACAATCAAGGAGGCGCCCTACAATTGTAGGGACGACTGACGATACGGCCCTAAAGTACAGTATTTTCCCTGAAAAACTTAAAATAGCCATAATTCTAACTATATATAAAAAAGATCTTTGTGACTTGCTAAGCTATAGGCCAATAATCTTACTTTCTTGTTTTGCAAAGCTTTTCGGGTTATTGGTGTATCCAAGAATTATGCATCATATGATTTGTAATAACTTAATTGCAGAGTCACAACATGGGTTTGTAAAAGGGAAATCCATCAACACGGCGATCTATTCTTTCAGCCACTATGATATGATATCACTGGGACTATTTTTCGATCTCTTCAAAGCTTATGATTGTATAGATCGTTCTCTTCTATTGAATAAACTCGAGGCATATGGGATGAGGGGAACTGCTTACAACTGGACAGATGGCACTTTTGTGATTCATGTACATTTTTTTCATTCAAATTATAGAGCTCGAAGTATAGTTCGTCAAAAAGTTATGGTTCGAGCAGCGATAGGTACGAACGGATCCGAGAATCGCCGAACGGAAACTATCGCTCGGACAGTCCAGATTCCCAATCGCCCAGAGATAGGGACAGATCGTACCAGTCAAAGAGCTCCTATCTACAGAAAATACGTGAAAAGGAGAGAGAAAATAGAGACTACAAGGTGGCCAGGGATTCTAGGGACAAGTATTTGGGTAAGATACACTTCATGCATTTTCTTGTTCAGAAAAATCTATTGTATGTATTGCAAGATCAATGAGTGAAGTATGCTTTTAAAAAAAACAACTGAATCCAGATCTGTCCCAGAAGCGGACGACATGCCGGAAACGGGAGATAGGCCAAGTCATAATAGTTATCAGAAAATTATGAAAAAAATCTAAGTCGTGTATTTTTTAAATCATGTATAAGCTTTAAAAAAATCGGAAAATCTACACCATGTAATGATCTTTTGGTTCTCATTGCTACAAATTTCAATTTTTTCTTATACAGAGTGACGGACAGTCTCATTGTACATAGTAAGTGCAAGACAGATAGAAACTGCAATTTTTGTTATGTTGTGAATGTAACTCAGCTGCTTCCGTTATTCTACCCCCTAGCTCAGCTACATTTTCGAGTAAACTTTTTCTTTCACCGCTCCCCAGTAAAAAAATAAGTGGATTTAAGTCTAGTGACCGGCTATCCACAAAACTCTACTAGACCGCCCTATCCATCTGCTCGGGTATTCCACATCAATATATTCTCTAAGTGTATGGGCATGGTGGGCCGGGCAGCCATCTTGCTAAAGTCAAAATCACGAGAGATGACTATTACGTCGTACCATAAATTGTACTGAAGAAATCAATGGACGTACGTTGATGATGAAATCACGATGTCAGGAAAATAATGACAACAAATTTATATTATGATTATGTGAAGTTAGGTTATTTCACTGATTATTTTTATTTTCATTTTATTTCATGGTTTTCAGTGAAACCTTAATAATAATTTTAGTGGGGAGTTTTTGTTTTGAGAAAAAAACAGTTATGAGTAGAATACCTTAGGACAGGAACACCAAAGACCAAAGTATTATTCGAAAACAACCTAACCTGCTTTAACATAACCTAACTATTCATCTTTCAAATATGATCGATCATGCAACATGAAAACATCGTCTATCTTTATACATGCAAATTAGCAATACAGTCTGTTTAGACAATAATATTCTGTTTGTCTCTATCTAACACATCTGAAACTTCATTAAGAATATTCACAAATCGCTGTCGTTTGTCATTACTACAGACTAAAATGATGACGTAATCCTGATGGTACTCGCTGGTACGGGTGGAGTTCGTTCTTACGCAAGATTCGGTGGGCTCTACTTTTGAGCACTCCCGTGCTTGCGTCTATTTGACGTACTGAAGTATTCAGGTCTTTTTCGCCTCCTTGTAGTACGACGTCCTCGTAAGGAAAGGAAATTCTTGTTTCACCATGTGATGTGCTTGATTTGGGAATCGTCAGTCTGAGAGTAAACGGTGCACATTCCCAAAAGCCCGGTGATGAAGCATTTTGGTATCGCTCACGATAAAGCCTAGGTGCAGCACTAGCATCGCATCTACACTTCTCATGAATGAGGTGATGTTGGCGTAATCCTGTACGGTGTACACGGACATGGTGGCACTACACAATCATGAATTAATAAAAGTGGCGTTACTATCTGTCTTACTGTCGCTACGCAGAATGACACTGTCCGTCACTCCGTCTAAGAAACAATGGGAACTAAAACATCATCACAGGGTGTAGATTTATCCCATTTTTAAAAAGCCTGTAATTTAAAAAGGAAACTTATTAGATTTTTTTATGTTTTGACTAACTATTATGACTTGGCCTATCCACCGTTTCAGACTTCACATCGTCTTTTGGTATGCGTATACAGGGTATTTCAAACTTCTAGGGGTTATTCAGTGTAACAGTAGAAAACATTTGAGTATAGGGACTCATATCCGGAAAAGTGTCACTACGGCCCTAAGACGATGAATTGACTAAATAGGATTTGAAGCATATAATGTTTGCCTTTTGTACATGATATGATCACAAAAAATGTTAAAAACGTCTTCCTCCAACCTGAATAAACCCAGGAAAAAATCTAACGACGTTAAATCGGGTGACCTAGGAAACCAAGAAACTGCTCCACCTCTGGCAATCCAATGGTGCCCAAACCGCTGAACCAAATACTCACGTGCTTGTACAGCAAAGTGAGCCGGCGCTCCATCATGCTGAAACCACATTTGCTGTCGAACGTTCAATGGAACATTCTCAAGAAGTTCTGGAAGAACTTCCTCCAAGAAACTCCGGTAAATAGGTCCTGTTAACCGTTCCGGTAGAAGGTATCAAATAACCATCAACAATGCCTGCCCTTACGTTAACAGACCAACGTTGCTGATGTTTTCGAGGAAAACTTGCATGGGGATTTTCTTTGTCCCAAACGTGGATATTCCTACTATTAAAAATACCGTCTCTTGTGAAAGAGGCTTTATCGGTCCATAAAACATAGCGTAAAAAATTTGGTTGTGCAGCGATTTGATGAAGAAGCCATTGACAAAATTGAGCTCTAGGATGATATTCGGCTGCAGTCAATCCTTGAACTTTCTGGAAGTGGTAAGGATAAAGTTGTGTACCACCCGCCAGATTGAAGCGTTACTCATATCCTCAGCAATGTGACGTGTGCTACTTGATGGTTCGTCGGCAACTCGCTGAAGGACCTCTTCTTCAAATTCGACCGTTCTCTCGGAGAGCCGCCGATGAATAGCAATAAACTTTTTGTATTCCGGATGCTGTCGTTCGGGATAACGTTCTTGATACAACCGCGCTGCTGCTCGTGCATTGCAGCTTGTTGCTCCGTATGCCAAATGCATATCCGCCAATTCTTGATTGGTAAAGTTTTCCAGTAGCAACAATTAATTTTTCTTAAATTCTTGCAAACCTCACAAATACGATAGCACGACTAAGGCGTTATGGAATGCAGCTACAAAAAATAATCTCTGTTATCGTTTTTAAAGATAACAACACACAAGCGCCTGATATGGGTCCCTATACTCAAATGTTTTCTACTGTTACACTGAATAACCCCTACAAGTTTGATCCCATAGTTCTGAAACACCCTGTATTTTCAGAAACGAAAAATTCTATCGACGGATTTTACAATGGAATTATATTCTTGTGTTAATGTAAAATACTCCCTTATCTAAGAATCCTTTTTCGAATTACTATGTGTTATTGATATAAGACAGACGAGGTCTAGGAGATGAAAAGACATTCAAAATGATGCCTTATGTGTTCAATTTTCTCAACGGTTATTTTTTTCTGCATACATTAAAAACCTGTTGATTTTCCAATTTTTTTATTTTTTAGCAAAAGTGCATAACAGTAAATCTCCCAAAGTTGTTCTTTTTTATGACCAACATCTAAAGAAAAGAGATTTTTTAATATTTCCCAACAATTTGAAGATTTATCCTATTTTATTTTGGATGTATTTTGTTTCCCTACATTTCTATAGGTCACTTTTACTGTTGCCGATAACTATCTTGATCCTTAGCAAAACAGTTACCGAAATTTTTCATATCTCTAGATGGGGATAAATAAGTCAGCCTTTTCTTTTTGGATAGTTAGCCTGATTTAATTTCAGGTCTTCACTTACGTCAAATATTATTTGAACATGACATTTCAATCATATTTGTTGCTGTAGCTATTTTTATTTAATGTTTCGAAAGTAGTTATGTTGGCCTTAACAGCTGGAAAATGTACACAGACACTAATGTTAAAATACCAAAGTATTTAAATAATTGCCTGTAGCTAGTTCTTCTATGCACACCAGATATGCATCTGATTGCTCTTTTGTATAACAAAAATCATCTGGCATTCCATAGAGTAACTCCATGCTAATATACCATATGAGATGACAGAGTGTATTTGGGCAGGATAATACATTAATAAAATAGTTTTATCTGCAGTTCTGCGAAACTGGTATAGAGAGTAACAAATGGGGGCTATTTTCCTGCATACTTTATCCACTTGTATCTGCTTCAGGTATATATGTATATCCAGTTTTGAATAGTAGACTATGATCCATATATTTGCGCAAGAGATGGAAACGAATGAAAACGGTTTTTGATTCATTTACAACCAAATTATTTTTTGAAACCAAAGACTTGGAACTACATGTAAGACTTTCCAACCAATGAAATTATGATGTGACAAGTAACAAAGTGTCATCCGGCATGATCAGTTTTGGTTAGAAAAGTCATACATACATACATACACTATAGTGTACAGGAGTGGTGCTAATATGGACCCCTGTGGGACACCTACTAAACATTTTAATCTTGGTGAAGCCTGAATCTGTACTTCCACAAAGTGTTATTCAGATAGCATTCAAATCATTGCAAATGCAGCCCTCTAATGCCATACATTTCGAGTTCCTCTAACAGTAATTTATGGTCAACATTTTAAATGCAAATAAGATAACAAGATAGCCTAAGGTCTAAACACCCATGGGGTACCGCGGGGCTATAGGGGGATACACGGGGAAAGGGGGGACGCCACGCGGAGGACTCTAGCGAGGGAACCAGTATACATGCAGCATGCACACATTCTGGCCCCGCCCACGAGATCCACCGGGTGGTACCTCCGCGTTCGACAGTCAGAGAGCGTCTACCACCTACGGACAATCGCAACATCCATAGCCAAGAGAAACATTATATATATATATATATATATATATATATATATAATGTGGGTGTGTGTGTGTGCTATTGAAATGTAAATTTATGAAACTTTCAGACTGTACTAGGTCTCCAAAGGACAAGCGCAGCAGGGAGTCCGAGCACCGATCTAACTCCGATCGAGGTGATGAGAAAGGCGTATTACATCCCATAAAGGTTTCACAGATATCATCTAGGGATAGAAAGCCTATGCATAACAACTGTGTAGATAAGGTAAGATGCGACATGAGTACCCATTCTAGCAGCTGTTACCATTGGTTAACGTATTGCACCAGAAGATTCCTAGAAATTGAAGGCTGTGCATGAAAAATGAACAAATTTATTTTGTCGCTGACAACCACCTATGCATACAACTATATACCTGCAATCCACCATATTTCAATGTCAGCATTGCCACATCTCGAACTGTTATCGCAGGTTATGGGATTTCCTCTTTCATTGTTGGGAAACTTCTGGCAATACGGAATCTAAGGAATAATTATAAGAGATTGAAGGGTGAACTTTTCTGGGTCGATGGCCATTTAACTTTATATCCAAATATAGCATAGGTTAGGCATGTTCTTGGCGAATATCTTAATCACTGTTTTAACTCTTTGCATCTTTATGCTTGTAAGGTACGGTTTTTTCACTCGCAGGTTAACTGATTTTAACTTATAGTTATCTATGAAAAAACGTTTTTTAATCATTTTTATAGTTAAACGGTAGTTAACTTTAACCAACAGACCATCTATGAGTTAGGCTGTAGTTGAATAACAATACCTGACGTTTTCTGACACAGATTTTGACATTTATTCAAAATTTTATCGATAAATATAAATTAAAGCTATTTGTGGATTACGACGCGATGCGTATAGCAGAGACGAATAGGCAAGAAGACACAAAATAATCCGCCATCGGCCGAATTTGACAACCTGGATTTCCTTGCAAGATTTCGTCTTACAAAAAGGACTGGGAAGCTGCCACTTTCTTGCTCTCTTTTATACTTTTGATTTTACTGACCATCTCCTCATGTTTTGATAAATTTTGAACTCTTTTTTGATGTTCTCTTTCTCCATGTTTGTCTTGTGATCTTTATTAATCAGGAACATCTCAAATGTACTTTGTGACTCTGGGTCATAGCTTTATACATAAAAAGCGGGTTGAAATATTCAAGGGTAAATGTGGAAATTAACTGTGCATAAACCATAGGTATAGAATTTAATTAATTAATTAAATTTACCTTATCTTTTAGTTAATAGTTATCGTTCGCCTTCTGAGAGTGTCACTTATTTTTTAGACTCCTTAGAAAATTTTCTCGGTTTCGTCAGTCTCAAATATGATTATTTATTACTGATAGGAGATCTAAATATTAACATTTTAAATAATTCTGCATACACAAATCGCCTCAAAAATATATTTATCACAAAGGATCAGGGAGCCAACAAGATTCAATTTTTCTACAAGAGAGACTATCCTCATTGATATAATCTGTACTAGTGAGGATCTTATCTCTATTGATACTAAATCATTGGCAGTTTCTCAAAATCTCTCAGATCATAATTTAATTTACTCAGCCGTTCGAAGGTCAAAAATAAATAAATCACAAAAACTATTAAATATAGAGACTACAATAATATAGATAGAGAATCCTTCTTAAATGAAGTGTTTCTACTTGGGTGGGAGGATATTTACTATATAAACCAAATCGACCAAAAAATAGAAGTCTTTAATAAAAATATAGTAACTGTTCTGAATAAACATGCTCCGATAAAAACAAAACAAATAACCGAAAAACCTTATGTACCCTGGATAACTCAAAATATAACAATTTTAATCAGACTAAGAGATAAAGCTCATAAAAAATTTCAAAAATCAAAATCACAGGCTCATTTTAAATATTATAAACAACTAAGGAACTATACAAAGCATGCAATTATCCGAGAAAAAAAATACATTCTTTAACTTACTCAACAAAGAAAGGTAAGGCATTTTGGGACACTACCAAAAAGCTCAACATAACATGCAAGAAAACTCACTCAACTATACCCGAACACTTACAAAATGTAAATGACATACACAATTACTTCCAACAGACCGACAATTTACCTGACACTGCTTCCCAAGGATGAATCATTTTTTACAAAAACAATGTAAACATTAACGATTCTCTTAGCTTCCAACTGTTAGACAGGGTCAGTCTAATCAAAATTGTAACAAATATCTCATCAAATGCCATTGGAGAGGATGGTTTCTCTATGAGAGACCTAAAGTTATGTATCCCATTTTGTATGAATGCCTTGCTGAATATAATCAACACATGTATTTTGGGGGGATTATTTCCAGAAATATGGAAGAAAGCTATTGTTAAACCCTTACCAAAAATAACAGAACCTAAATAATTTACAGACTTGAGGCCTATTAGCATATTACCCGCTACATCAAAAATTTTAGAAAGGCATATTTATAATCAAATTAGATTTTTTTGTGACACAAACGATATCATACCCGATAGTCAATCCGGTTTTAGGAAAAACTTTAGCACAAGTACATCATTAAATAATATCTTGGATGATATCATTCATCAAGAACAAAAAAATAGTACGTGCATGGTTCTTCTCGATTTTAGTAAAGCGTTCGACACTCTGAATCATGAAATGTTACTAGCTAAGTTACATTACCAGGGGTTTTCGCAGAACTCCGTAAATCTAATAAAAACATACATAAGCAACCGTACAAACTGTGTTATGTTAGCAAATGATTCCGCTATTTACAAAACCGATTTTAAACCTATAAAAAGAGGAGTTCCTCAAGGTTCAATTTTATCTCCTTTGCTATTTTCAATCTACATATCTGACATGGTCAAATCGGTAAAATTCGCAAAGATAAAACTATATGCAGATGACTTACAAATAGATCTCCCTTTCAATACAAACACAATCCATATTGCACAACAACAACTAAATTCAGATCTCCAAAGAATTGACAGATTTGCAAAGCATCACAATCTTAAACTAAACCCCTCAAAATCGCAAGTAATGGTTATGAATAAAAACAGTAATGAAAGAGAACATTTTGAACAAAATTTAGTAATTTCTATTAACAATGACAGAATACCCTTAGTTCAGGAGACAAAAAATCTAGGCATTATATTTGATAGCTCGCTTGGCTTCAGCAGTCATATAAAAAACAGAACAAATTTAGCTTACATGCGACTAAAAAATATGAACAAATACAAAAAAAAATGTATCAGCCAAACAAAAATATCATTTGTGTAATACCTTAATTTTATCACTTTTTGACTATGGAGATGTCGTCTATGGTGATTCGCTATCGTCGCGAACCAAAAAATGTATACAAAAAGTTCAAAATAGTTGCATGAGATTTGCGTTTGGAATTCCATATCGAAACCATATCACCCCTTATCTGAATAACTACTACATATTAAAGATGACGAATCGCAGAAAATATCACATGTATTCTTTTATCTATAGGGTTATAAAAATAGGTCAACCGGGCCTAACTGATTTTCCGACACACATCCTCATAAATCTAATTTTATTTCCAGAGAGATGATAGAGATAGGGTAACCCGGGTAGGAGACTGGTCTGAACACGTGAGTTCATCTGGGAAGAAATATTACTATAATTGTAAGACGGAAGTGTCACAATGGGAGAAGCCCCGCGAGTGGGTGGAACGAGAAAGGGAACGATTTCGAAGTACCAGAGATAGAGACAGAGATTCTGATGGCGGCAGAGGATATAGCAGCAGTTCAAGCCGTTCGGGGGCGCGTAAGTGTTTAGATAAAATAGTCTTTCTGTTTGAATTTGTTGGAATGATAATATGACAAATAACTTTGGTATAGTATTTATGTTCATAATTGAATCGTCGTAAAATTCTATGTCGACATTAAATATAATTTATGCTGATAGGGTTTAATGATTCAGTACTTCAATCCTGAGCATCAGTCAACCAGCTTCAGAGGTAGTTCTGCTTGGTGATTTCAATGCCCACCTAGCCTCGAGTATTGCTCACACGTTTGATGTGCTGCTGGTCCGACTACTTTTTCCATGCTCGATGCTGTCCAGAGGAGGGCTGTCCGACTGATCGATGATTCTTCTCGTTTCGGGATCCTTTCGCACCGGCGGGTCGTCGGCGATCTAGCTCTCCTCTACCGCTACACCAACAAGATTTGCTCCATAGAGCTCTCCTCCATGATGCGACTGCAGGATGTACATGCAAGACAGATCCGCCTGTCTTCGGCCTCCTATCCTAACCTTGTCGAACTTCGTACATGCACACCGCTCCTTTGTCAATAGGTTGTCGAGATTGTGGAACAATCTACAAGAGGAGGCTAAAATGGGATTAACAAAGGGGATCCTCATAGTAGCCGCGGTGTTTTGGTTTACGCTTCTGCTTGCGCGACTACTTCGGTGTAAGAAAAACATCTTTACTCGACATATTTAGGTGGTTCCAGGTTTCCCCAATTTGGTTTGATTCAAATGTTCTCCAAAACGCTATTTTTCATCCCTGGTGGTTTTAATATCAGACCAAAGTCAACATTTGAAATACTATCGCGATATCTCATTAGTACACCACTGATACCAAGTATGCCGAAAGCAGACACGTTGAGAGTCTATATGTATTAAAACATGAAAATATTAGTTTTCATTTGTTTCGTTCAACTGCACTTAGCTGCTGAGAACTAGTGCTGTGCGAAGTATGACAGCCTAGTCTGCTAAATGTTTGAAGGTACTGCTTTGAAAGTTTGGAAAATCAGAATCTCAGAAGTCACATATATGAAATATGTTGAGCTGTGCTAGTTGTCATCAGATTCAGTCGATAGCGAGCGATAATCAGCAACTGAGCTAAGACATACCATAACCATCAGATCACATCAATAATACTATATGAAGCTAGAATGCCTACTGACTGCCTTGACATGCAATAATTATGGATAGCTTTTAGAACTTTATTTCAATATCCACATCCTCATTTCTGTTAATAATATTTTGGTTGATTTTCTATTCCCAACATGTGCAGTTTCTGGAGGTTTTCTATGTCCACCAATAGGTTAGTACACAAGAACATCTCAGTTGCCTATAATGATTAAAAATGCTTAATAATTGCTACATTTATATGTGGAATTCAGTTCGAACTGAGTTCGATTATGGCATGTAAGTGCTAGAGAATTACGATTGATAGTTTAATAATGATAATAATCGTCTTTATTAACCAAAACATTGTACATTGCACGATTCGAGATTTAGCACCTGCTATTCGACCATCTACCCCATACAAAAGTAACTTGAATAAGATGAGCTAAACAAAAAAAAATGTGAAAGTAGATGGATAAGTCGTGGTACAATATAATGAGTAATGCCGATTCGGCTATAAAAAAGAGAAGATACAACAAACAGATTATGAAGAAACAGAGAAATACAAAGTATGAAAATGGAAGCACTTCTTAAGCTAGCTGTTGATCGGCAATTCTTGTAAATGTCTTTTTAACTGTACTCTAAAACTCTGGGAAGACTTGATACTTTTCAAATCCTTGCCTAAGCTGTTGTAAGATAAAATTTCTGAGACCTGTAATTATTCCAGTTTTGAGCAGATGGAACAGCTTTAAATTGACTTCAAACTAGATGTCAACCATGACGCTTTTGGTCTAGTGATACGCACTGTTCTAACTGAATAATATAAGTTGAAGATTGCATTGATGTCAGTCAAAAATTTTAATTTATTTTCAGTATCTATAAAGTATAAGACCTGCTCCTACTTCATTTGATGTCTCTGTTGAGGTTATCTAAGCTGAAGTGCCTGTAATCTCTGAAAGTACATACTTGTGCTCTTTTTGGAAACTACAAAGTAGGACGCAGAAATCCATTTGGTGCACACTAATGGTATCAGCGTTTTGACTGTAATAAAGCATCTGCGCAATTTGCTTTTAGTATAAATACTCATACCTCCACCACGGGATGGCCTTTGGCCTATCATCTCTATAAAAGCTGAAGCCAGTATTATTGACAGGAACACATTACCACTCGATCTACGTATTTCATCGCCACAAATTTCACAGATTTTTTCGCTTCGCCTCAGAGTCACATCTACACCCACCGACATCTCCGGTTGTGCCAAGGTCGATACGGCTGTTACATGGCATCCATATGACAGGGATATTTCCCTTTTGTGGAACATCAATTTATTCGCAGTTATAAGAAATGTGTGAAAATATGGTTGTCTGCCGTCACTAATAGTTCTACATTTTTTTTAAGTGATGGCGGTTTTAAAACTTCTATTTTGACGCGTATGACATATAGCCCTCCGGTTTGATCAAGGGTTTAAAAGGGATTTAAAACGAATAGAAAACTGAATGTAAGCATTGCGGGATATCGGATTTTGAATCGTATTCTATTCGAACTGAGTTTCTTGTAAGCGTAGTAATTTTAATTTTGTCGTGAAAGTGGTTCAAGGTAAATCGTGAAAAGGATTACCACCTTTGCGGTTTTTTACTTTTGTTTTTTAGCGTATCTATACATATGATCTAAATCTAATAAATTCCGCCTGGAATAAATCAGTTGTTGCAAGTCATTGTGATTTGCAGGGCATGAAAAACATTCCAACTCTAGAGGTGGGAACAGTAGTTGCAGTAGCAGCATTGGGAGTAGCAAAGATCACGGCAGAGAGGCGGCAGCTACAGCTAGCAGACACTGGGGCAGCAGAGAGGACAATGATTCCGCCAAGGAGTCCAGGTCGTCGTCCCGAAAACACTCGGCCGAGGATATCATACAACAGACTACTCATAGTGTTGTAAGTGCACATAATTTGACATATGATATTTTTCATTATAATTAGGGGTTCAGTACGACTATCGCTCTGGCACGTATTTGTGATGAGGTAATAACAGCGGCAGATAAGCAAGAAGCAACCTCATCAGTCTTGGTGGACTTTTGGAAGGCGTTTAACACTCGGAATCATAAACTTTTGATTTATAAATGTAAATACATTGGATTTGACGTCTTGGCTATGAATTGAATAGATTGTTATCTACATGAACGACATCAATATGTCGTAGTACAAAATAAATATTCCTAAAAAGGCCTAGTTGTTCCGGCGTTCCTCAGAGATTCATGCTAGCACACAATTACCAGTAGTTCCTAATGCCTGGCAATGTGTATTAATTGAGTAGAGTTCCATTGACATAACTTTACATTGGCTATCTACCGCAGGATATGGATATTTCCCCCGGTGACAGCACACCGACCTCTGAGGTATCGTACGGAGGCGGTTCGACGTCGTGCGCTTCACAGCAGCAACAACAGCAACCTACTGCATCGTCGTCCACGCCCGACGGTTGCGGCACCGCCCCCGTTCTTCTAGCTACCGCCCTGCCACGATTAGCATGTCATCCGCCCGCCGCCGTGGCAACAGTGGTCTCAGGCGCGGGGGTGGCGTCTCCTAATGCGCCTGGACCTCCGGTGACGTGCAGCGGCAACGGTGAGGCGGTACTACCTGGTGCGGTGGACGGCGTGACCTCTCAGGGCGTCGATTGCGTAGGGACCGTAGGACCAATGGCGATGGAAGCTGCGTCTACGATGAGCAATCATCACCAACTGGACGGCAGAGGCAGATTGTCGGGGGCGGCGCTTACAGGTGGTGGGGGAGTGCCGACCATGGGAGGGAGTGGCGGTGGAGGTGATGGACCGCCCACGCCTACGCATTCCGAAACTCCTGACTGCGCTAAGGGTGAGTTTTATTACATTTAATAATATAAGGTATATATATGTACACCAGGTGTTTCAAAGTCTACCGTCACCATTGTGATCTTGGAACCGGTAAGAGATAAGCCGCAACGTTGCATATTTGGGTAACTAACAAAATGCCGCTCAGAAAGCTCCGAAATTCAATTACTTCCGGAGAGAGACGGAAAAACTATTTTGTTCAAAATCATTTTAACTTTTTCTTGACTTTACTGGTAGTGGTATTCCAAAATGAATTGCATGTTAACATTGCCACTTTTTCTCGTCTGCAAGATGGCATAATTACGATTTAAATATGACGTTTCGTCTCTTATCATCCAGCATCAACTTTTTTCATTGACTCATATAGGATTTTTGCGAAAATGAATAGAGTTTTTAATTCTGATTTCAAAAATGTATGTGTCATACATACATTGGCATTGCCAAACCTTACTTATTCCAGAAAAATCAGATCTCAAATTGAAGATTAGAGTTTTGAAGACAGCAGAAGAGAAATAAATCGAGCTGTGAACAATGTACAGAGAAGTGTCAGGTTTTGCCTACAAAATAATGAACAACATTTTGAAAATCTGCTATTTATCTCTGCTTATTTATGATTATTATTGTTATTATCATCATTGAAATTAACATTTTGTGTTCAGGTTTCACCATACCTTTTTAATTTTCATCCAACAACAAATTCATGGCCAACTAAGGAAATATGGTACATCACCAAATTCAGAATTGAAAAGTTCATTTAAATCCATCTTGTAGAGGAGAATAAGTAACAATGACAACGTGCAATTTACTTTGAAATCTTATCTCAATCAAAGTCAGGGAAAAATAAAAGTGATTTTAGGATGAATCTGGTATGCAAAACAAATGACTATCTGATAATTTTAAATAACTAAGGTTTGGTAATGTCAGTGTATGACGTATAAATGTTTGGAATTGGAAACTCGTATTCATCTGTGCAAAAATCCAATGTGGCGTCCCCAAGAAAAACAAAGTTTATGCTAGAAAACAAGATACAAAACGTTATATTGAAATTCTAATTGTCATATTTCATCGTTTGGTATATTGTTCGTTTGTTTTGTTCACATCAAACGAAACTGTATTTTCAAAATTACAATCACAAAATATCACAAAATGAAGCTATGAGAGCCATCTTAAATAAAAATAAATATACTATAATAAATGGTATGCCGACAGAACTATAATGGTTAAATATAAAAAATTTCATTACGTACTTGGTTTTCATTTTCAAATTCAGGTTAAAAAATCATCTTCTACCAAATCTATTAGAAAATTTTATGATTACTATTGTTATTCTACTAGAGGAAGTACAGACTCTCGTTTTCAAAATTGAAGTTGCAATATAACACAAATCAGTATCTATTTCAAAAAGGATCCTCGGGGAAATTATGAATATTATAAAAAAATATGACATGTTAATGTTTTTCATTCCCTTTGTTTGTTTGTTTCAGATTTATTTAGCATTAATGCTACAATGTCCATAATATCCATATTACACAGTAGATCACAAAATATATTATGTCTTCAAGACTGCATATTTTTATACAAAACTTCACTATTATGAATTCTGGTTTTCCATGAGATATTTTTTCAATTTCCCTTTGAACATTTTCAAATTGACACACATCTTGATATCATTACTTAATTTATTAAATTCGTACAATCCCTTTTGAAATACTGACTTGCTCGTTATATTGCTACTGCAGTTTTGTAAAAGAGAGTCTATACTTCCTCTAGTAGAATAATTGTGGCACTCATTGTTCATTGCAATAAAATTTTCTAAGTGATTTGGTAGAAGATGATTTTTTAACTTGAATATGAAAATGAAAACCAAGTAGGCTATGAAATTTTTGATATTTACCCATTGTAGTTCTTTTAGCATACAATTTATTCTAGTATATTTATTTTTATTTAAGATGATTTTCATAGCTTTATTTTGTAATATTTGTAATTTTGAGAATACAGTTTCATTTGCAGTGAACAAAATAGCCGAACAATAGAACAAATGATTAAGAATGATAGTGTTGTACACAATTTTTTTTGAATAAATGCTTAGGCTATGCGAAATTCTATAAAAGTAATTCATTTTATTGGATATTTTTCAAATAATATATTCCTAGTGCCCTTCAAGTTTTAATTCACTTGCTACGTATATGCCCAAGTATTTAAATGATTCGATTGACACAATTTTTTCATGATTAATTGTAAGATTTATCATATTTTGATCTAAAGATTTTCCTGTTATATATTTCTCGAGTTTATTTACCAACATTTTAAACTCACAATCGTTTTAATTGTTCGCGATTTCGAAAACAGATGTATACTATATTAATACTTTTAGAAAAAAAAGTCCAGGTAATTATAATCGTAAAGAAACTGGATTACTTGACCTCCTTATTTGACAGAGTCATGCAGTCATCAATAATGCAGCCATCTAGCACATGCTACATACTAACTAGTCTAAGGCAGTTCGAAACATAATTGTCTTCAGTTTGCGTGCTAACTTTATGAAGAGCTCAGCGCATTTCAGTATTAAATATTTTTTATAAACTTTAAGGCTTATCTGTGACTCGTGTCGAAATATGTATATACAAGAGTATGAGGAAATCTTGAAAAAAAAATGTTCGCAACAAAAGGTGATACACATAGACACATCCGTTTTGTTTTAAAACGTGTATAATGTTGTATGTTTTTCGAATATCGTAGCGAATCTGTTCAATTACTCACAAATACGAAATTTTTGAATTTGTTTGGAAGAAACAAAAGTATCCTTTCGTTTTTCGTATAAAAATAACGATTATCTTTCGGAATGCGTTGTGATTCATGTCGAGGAGATAAATTCGTGTATTTTGCTATAAAATGCCCTGTATATTGCTCAGTAAACTAGTAGTGATGTTCGGAAGACAGGTGTTTTGGGATAAACAATTAGGAATTATCAAAAACTACTTGACCAATCGACTCCCAATTTTCTTGAGGTTATTTATAAGTATGAAACCTACGGATTTGAAGGATTTCAAGTAGCTGCATTTTGCCTCAGTTTTTGTCCATAACTTTTTTACTATTAGTCGGATCTTTTTAGGTGCAGTCTCATTTTGTAGGTCTCGTAAATACCTAAAAATCTTATTTGAATAGCCTTTTAGTTCCTGCCAACACTTGTCATTGAATCCCAAAAAACTAGTTTTCTCTTTATTTGTTGTTGAATAAAAAGTTTTCCCACAAAAATTGGTGTACCCATTTTATGCGTCCATGTTTTAAATACCCATTTGAACAACAAATTTGCTAATATGATTAGACTATCTGTGGCTGGTCATCATATGGCAAACATGTCTTTATGTGTCAAAAAAGAGTTTCAATTTGTATGGCAGTAGTGTACTCTAGGCATAGTTGTAGGGGTTCAAAAAACACTGTATACTCGCCATATAATAATAATAGCGGACTTAAAAAAATAACATATTCTTAAGGAACAACATGTACATGAGCTATTCTAATCAACCATCGGAAAAAAATACAGTTGCACAAAATATATACAAGAAATCAGCGCAAAATTGTCGAAACGAAAGGCTCCGCAGAATGGTCGTATGTAAGGCATACATTTAAAAATCTTCATTCAGTTATTGTCTCAGGTAAGTACAAAGAAAAAGCATATGAATAAAAAGGACGAACTAACATTTTAATGCAGGAATTACTTTGTTAGCCTTCATCTCCGAAACCAGATGGCATAGCAAAATTCCAGCTCTATTTGAAATCAAAAACTTATGAATACTGTACTTATTAGCGTTGTACGCTCTGAATTCATTGTATTGTGCAAAAATTGTACATATGAATCGAATTATAGATAAATGACCTCTGAGACATTGTCGTCCTGTGTTTGAGGGGTTGCAAAAGCGGCTCCATATCTGGTGTTTCTGGAGTTGATTATAGAGCGAGGTATAAACTTATTTGCAAAATTTGGAGGATCAGGCCTGCTCAAGAGTTTGTGAGTGAAGGTGCATAACTATTCTCCATATACAGGGTGGCCAAACACGTGACGTCATAAAAAAAAAATTAGATTCCCCACATCGAGAGGAACCCAAATCACCCCCATATATATGGTCCGATTTTGTTTAGTTTAGGAGTTATGATTTTTTTTCGGATTTTTCGAGAATTTTTGAGTTCTGTGTTTATTTTTACCATGACTTCGTTAATAATTGTGATAAATGCCTGCTTTTTTCACGATTATGTAGCTAAGACCTAAGGCTTAACTATCATATAATCATTCAAGTCATGTAACTAATACTACTTTTTAATTTTTTTCAAAATCTTCGAACATAACAAAAAAGTAAAAAAGTGCAACAACTTTGAACGTTTATAAAAAATTGAAAAAACATGTTCTTACTATTCGTAAGTATCTTAAAAACTTCCTTACGGTATCAGCTATTTACCGTAAAAATTTCATCAACCTAGCTTTACTACATGCTACCGTAATTGTGGCTCAAATAGAACCGAACCCAAAATTGGATAACCCTCTGCTCAATAGAAATTGTTAGTTTCGGAAAAAAATACAAAATATTCTTCATGAAGAAGGTTATCATGCCTATCATGTTCAAAGAGTTCAAGCGTTGATGCCTTCAGATTACCAGTTCAGAGTGGCTTTCTGCGAGACAATGCTGCGAAGACAACGAGAGGATCCCGATTTTTTTGATAAAATTTTATGGACTGACGAGTCACGTTTTGAAAGAACAGGGATATTCAATATCCATAATTTACATACTTGGGCTGTTGAAAACCCCCACCAGTCAAGGCCGTCGACATTTCAACACCGTTTTAGTGTGAACATGTGGTCAGGAATATTCAATAAGGAATTTATCGGTCCATTTGAACTGCCGTCAAGGTTGGATTCGGTAGCCTACAAAAGCTTCCTTGAAAATAGCCTACCATTATTGCTGGAAGATTCAAGCCTGGAAGCCAGACGGAACATGGTGTTCCAGAATGATGGTGCACCATTCCACAACGCAACGATCGTGCGAAACTACTTAAACGAAAGGTTCCCAGACAGATGGATCGGACGAAACGGACCGATACGATGGCCTCCACGCTCCCCTGACCTCAACCCCATTGATTTTTTTGTTTGGGGATATTTTAAAGACATAACATTCGCCCAAGAATGTGCAAATGAAAATTCATTGAGGAACAAAATTCAAGAAGCGACACATGTGTTGAAAAACAACACACAAGCATTTAGAGATTTAAAACAAAATTTCATACGTAGGTGTACACTGTGCATTTCTGTTAGAGGCAGACATTTTGAAAACCTCTTGTAAATAACATAAATGAATAATAATCTGCTGTTCAGTAAAAATCAAACGTTTTTTTGTGGTTTTTGCAAATTTTTTTTCCGAAACTAACAATTTCTATTGAGCAGAGGGTTATCCAATTTTGGGTTCGGTTCTATTTGAGCCACAATTACGGTAGCATGTAGTAAAGCTAGGTTGATGAAATTTTTACGGTAAATAGCTGATACCGTAAGGAAGTTTTTAAGATACTTACGAATAGTAAGAACATGTTTTTTCAATTTTTTATAAACGTTCAAAGTTGTTGCACTTTTTTACTTTTTTGTTATGTTCGAAGATTTTGAAAAAAATTAAAAAATAGTATTAGTTACATGACTTGAATGATTATATGATAGTTAAGCCTTAGGTCTTAGCTACATAATCGTGAAAAAAGCAGGCATTTATCACAATTATTAACGAAGTTATGGTAAAAATAAACACAGAACTCAAAAATTCTCGAAAAATCCGAAAAAAAATCATAACTCCTAAACTAAACAAAATCGGACCATATATATGGGGGTGATTTGGGTTCCTCTCGATGTGGGGAATCTAATTTTTTTTTATGACGTCACGTGTTTGGCCACCCTGTATATACACCTTCTCGAACCAACATACATTTTTATCAAATAAGCACATCCATGGAATCAGAACAAGGCAAAGCGCCCATCTACATATACCTTTAGCCAAATGTAATTTTGCAAGAAAGTCGTCAAATATAATTTTGCAAGACAGTCGCCAAATTTGTTGGGAAGTAGAATTTATAATACACTTCCCTAAGAAATTGAGTGCGGCCAGTCAACTGTTTTAGAAAACGTTTGAAGAACTATTCACTTGATAAATGGTATTACACCATCAGTGACTTCATTAGCTTCTAAATATTTATTTTTCACAAATCCATGTATTTTAATATCAGATGGATAATAAATATAGTCTTATTATTATTAATGTCAATGAGCAAACTTTTCACACTGACAACGTGAAACAGCACTATTATCATGCTCATGTATAAATAGAGATGGTATTTTATAACTGATCAGATTCATTTTTTGCTGATGGAACATCGTTTCAAAAATTTTAAACATATTTTTATAAAATGTACTACATGCATTTTATTTCATAAACGTAAGACTATCTTCATTATTTTCAGCAGTAGCAGTACCTGTGAGTAGCCCACCGGGCGGCCTTTCGACGCTCCAGGGCGTTTCTAGTTCCCTGCAAGCATTGCGACCTCAAGGGCCTACGATCACGCCCTCATTAGCCAACCACTATAGGGATGATCTTGTGAATCATGTTAGGGGGTGGCCCGCAGAAGTTTTAGAAAAACAGGTACGTTTCAACTTCTCTTGGGGCCTACTACTAGATCTACAGCATTTTTCGTTTCAAGTACACTGATCTGTTGCTAGGGACCTGGGATTTCAAATATTTGTACAAAGGATCTTATTATAAAAGTTTTGCAATATGACTTAACAAATGGACATGAGTGCAGAGTAGCCGCCAGCAGCACGTCTGTTGAGTTAGTTGTTCATTCGTGTTGACAGTGTAAAGTGCGGACTATGGCATCGTGGACGCAGTGAGATAAGTCCAGTTTTACGGTATAACTTTACGCTAGGTTTAAGCACAGACCAGTGCTTAGAAGGAATGACGCTTGCATTAAAGAAAGATTGTATATTCGCGTGGTACAGAGAATTCCAAAGGGGCAATTTTACTCTGGAGGACGCTGAGAGCAAGGAAATGCTTGACGTAGACCGGAGAGTGACATACCAAGAGATAGACGAGGTGTAACCTTCATGCACCAGCAATTCATTCAATTCTGCATGACCATTTACACGTAAGGAAACTTTGTTCTCTCTAGGTACCGCATAGTCTGACGGAAGAGCCGAAGACTCGTCGTACGACTAGGTGCAGAAATATGCTAGAAATGTTTGATAAGGGGCAATCTCGGTATATAAACAGCATCGCGGCAGGTGACGAGACTTGGCTCTATCATTACGATGTGCCGACCAAGGCTCAAAACAAGGTTTGAGTCTTTGATGATGAAGACACACCCGCAGATGTCAGAAAATCCCGGTCTGTTAAGGAAAAAAGATTGATTTTTCAATTTGAGCGGGATTGTGTAGCGTGTCGTTCAGACACACAGAAGACAGTCACAGCTAAGTGGTACATGGAACAGTGTCTGTCTAAAATCATAGAGTCTATGGAAAACCTGCGGCCAAAGTCAATAATGGACACTTGGTACCTCCACCATGACAACGCCCCAGGGCCTGCACCGAGTATTTGACCACTACTAGGGCTTGGAACAACTAGTGTGCCGCACTCCCGGGTGAAACTTGGTAGAGCTGGTTTAAAGACTGGTTTTGGCGGATGGAGAAGTGTATTGAACGTGGTGGAAATTACTTTGAACGGAGTCAATAAATAAAGCTGTATTGCAAAACTTCCATAGTACCCTTTGTATTAATTTATTAGAACACTGCTTTTGCGACTGGGATATAATTTCAAAGGTTCTATTAGGTATCTTCTGGTAGCCATTGGACGTTGGTATATACTTCGTGTAACAAAAGTAATGGAACGGCTCTGTATTTTTTCAGGTAAGGTATTTTTGAAAACTAACTAACTTTGAAGGAGTACAATGGTGACCTTGGATTTGAACTTTAGCCTCACCTTCAAGGAATTTTACAGTTAACTTTTGTTTTTTAAATGGAAACCTTTCTTTTTGACATCGCCTATCGATAGAACGAGACCACCGACGATATAATAATAATAATGTTTATTGGAGTATTAATACATAATAGAATCAAAATACGAGCAAATAATATAACACAAAAAAAATAATACTCCAAAGGGCTGGGGATTGGGATAGCCATTTTTCACCCCTGCCTGAATACCCAAGGTATATTCATTAAGTGCATTACTATATCTTACTAGGGTATATCATATACATTACATAAAGGATATGTAGTTGACTATAATAATGCTAACAAAACTTTAAAATATAATAAGATTAATAATGAGATTTATTCAAGCACTTGTAGATTCATTAAATGGTAACTGTAATAGCATTCTTTTGAATTCTCTTTTGAAGCTGTGAATGGTCGTTAATTTAAAGAAAATTGGGTAATCATTTAGTATACTGGGAGCTATGTAATAGACATTTTTTAAATGTTGAGGTAGTGTGGTCTGGTATATTATAACAATATTCATTACGGAGGAACAGTTGATGGAGTGAAGATCTTTTCTCTAATGTGTCAAAAAGATATTTCGTAGATTTATATTTTAAAACCCTTAATAGTAGAACAGCATAGAGAAGTAACGAGCGATATTTGAACTTTAAAAGATTTTCCCTTACATAATACCCAGTAATGTGTTCGCGTCTGTTTATCTCATTGAAACAAAACCTCATACAATGGTTTTATAAAACTTGGATGTTCTGTTGTATTTCCTCAGTGATAAAAAGGTAATATAGAGTACTACAATAATCTAAATGTGTGAGGATTAATGCATTAACAAGTTTTAGTTTGATATCACTTGTTATTATATACTTATATCTCCATAGCGATTTGTATTTATAATAGCATATTCTGAGCTTATTTATAATGTGACTTTCAAAACTTAAATTCTTATCAAGTACTCTTCCCAAATTTTTTGTTTCTTCAACAAATTCAATGTTAATAACTTCTAAAAATATGTTCGTATTTATTACTTGTTTACACTTCAGAATCGCTAGTCAAGAACCAACACAACATACTTTGGTTTTCAAGGGATTGAGCTTCAAACAATGATTTTTTGAGTACTGTTCAATTATGTCTAAATTTTTTATTAAGTACTACGAGCCCCTTCCCACATCAGTTGGCCCACTCCAAGATTTGTACCAAAATATGCCTTTATCTAACTAAACATGACGAAATTATTTACTTCTAAAACAATGTATTTTCTCAAAAACATTTTAGATTCACTCTAGTCGTAAAAAATACATATTTGAAATCACTTAGACCTATAACTAATAGAACGTGTTGTCGTAGAACCTTTTTCATCTCGTGCCACAAAGTTTAAACAGGTGACAGATCTGGACTGCTAGAAACCCATTTCAAGATTGGTACATTATTTTCTTCCATCCATTTTATAGCCTTTTTTGAGGTATGTCACGCTGCACCATCTTGCTGAAACACAAAATCTTGGCCGGATGTCAAACATTCTTCCATCACTGGTAAAAGCGATTCTTCTAAAATTGCCAAATATTTGTTTGTATCCACATTTCCATCAATAAAATGAATTTTTCCTACTTCTTTTGATGACATACTGCCCCAGACCATAATGGATGCTGGAAATTTCACTTTTCTCTTCAGACAGTCAACATGGAATGCTTCTTTTTTTTCGAATATTTCTACTGCGACTGTCACCAACACAAATTTTGAATCGGGCCTCATCACTCCATTGTATTGCACGCCATTGTTGAGGTGTCCATTGTCTATGTTCTTTAGCAAATCTAAGCCGATTTTTCTTTTGCAGTGCAGTTAATAGTGGCTTTTCTTTGGCCTATAAACAAGTTGTGCAACTTTAGGGTTTTTACTTCACTTTTTTTTTATAAGAAAACTTACCTCGCAACTGCTAAATCCCAGTTTGTAGGCCTCTCTATGAGTTGTGGACCTCGAAATTCTCCTTCCAACAGCGTCACTCCACAGAGCACTTAAATGTAAATAATTGGCACGCCTATTATTCACGATTATTCTTCTTAATGCTCTTCGGTCGGCATTTGTGATATTACTTTTTTTCACATATCGTGGCTTAATATTAACTGGATCAGTTACGTTATATCTTCTAACAGTATTTCTCACACTGTACCGCGATAAGTCTAACAAAGTTGCAATTTCTGAGTTTGATTTCCCAGAATTAAAAAAATTAATTATCAGTAACCGAATTTTCTCACTAATAACCTTTCCTCTACCCATTCTGAAAACCTTAACTACCGAAAACTATTTTAAACGTATTCTGACAGCTGTGATTAATAAAAACAATTGTCATGGCTTTTATTTTTCACAGCCACCTATGCGTTATAGACTTATTTTGCATTAAAATGAAAATAGGTTGATATGCTGTAATTGCAACATGTGTTATTTTTATGCTGCAAATTTGATTAGGGAGTGATAAAGTTGGTGTTTTCTACTATATATTATCAAAATATTCATTGTTAATATTTTAAACCTATAACACCCTGCTACATTTTTATTATTCGTGTTTGATAAAAAAACTAAGATTTCAATAGTTGGGCCAACTGAAGTGGGAAGGGGCTCGTAATATTAAAGAATTTACATCAGTTGGTTGACATGGTTTGTAAACTTGTACATCATCCGTATACAAATGTACATTCCAGTCAGATGATATACATATGTTTTATCAAATCTGAGGTATAAAAAGTAAATAAAATTGGGCCTAAAATATATCTATAGACACTTCATGATTATACATTTGTTCATTTTCCAACATTCCTTGGTGGTTGCCGCGGTGGAAAGAATAACATTTGAACCAGTGACCTACCATAATGAAAATATTACCGCACCCACAATGAAATAGTGATCGTTTCTTCAAGCTGTGGAAATCGCGGCGGTCATATATTTGTTTGTAAAATTGCTTAAGTTAGATTATGTATATATAAAGAGGTTCCTTTTTTAAATCAGGGACATATGAAATTCTCCTAATGCAGGTGAATGAAAAATCGATTTTAGGATCATCCCATAAGATGTAAAATTTTATGAAATATGTAGATATTACACCTTCAAAAAAAGTCAATGGCACAATAAAATGAGATACATTAGATTTATTTTTATCTTTTGCTTTTCATGTGAATACCAAATAAGTATTTATTTTAATATGATTTTAGATAGACAGAATATGTGTAGATTGTCCGACAAGAAAAGTACAATAAGTAGTCATTGTTTGATTTTGCAATTTTATCATGGAGCATTTTTAGAGTTAATATGTTACATGTGAGAAATTGAGCAAAATAAGAATGCCATACTTTGAAGCTTACTGCTCAACGTCAAATCGAAGGTTACGGTGAACCCATTGTTAACAGTTGTTAAAGACATGATCTTGACTTTTTCAAAAATACCTGACTTGGAAAAATATAGTCATTCCGTTACCTGTATTAAACTCGGTATGTTTTAGAATTCCTACTTTCTCGCTAATTTCATTTCAATTAATGTTGCGGATATATCTCAATGCCATTGTGGCATTTGCTCGTACCACTTTGCTCACCCTAAATTATGTGTAATGGACCTAGCGGAAGAGTTTCGTTTCCTCTCAATCATGGTGCACCTTTATAGCGTACCGCTAATGTGATTTTTCCTCACAGGCCAATAAGCTAGCCGAAGAAGCACATTATATGGGAAGTATACAATGTGCAAAAGTCTCTGCAGAACTGAAGTCTGCTAGGTCAATAGTTCGTCTTACAGAAATCCAAGCAACATTACAAGAGCAAAGGTAATTATAATCTATGTTTTTATTTTAATTATCGTGCCCTTAGATACCATAAATAACCTTTCCTACTCAGTTTTATAGATTTTTTTAGTTTGTTGTGTTTTACTTTCCACGCCTATTGACGAGGAAGTAAAAAAAAATCGGAAAATTGAATATCATGCTTTTTGGATGTTATATGACATGTACAATCTTCGAAAACCAAAAGTTGACATTTTTTGTCTTTAAATCAAGGTTGAAATCGCTTTAAAATAATGATCTTAAAATACCCTTTAGGGTCTTGACCGTTACTTCAATTTACAAATTTGACACCCTCAAAAATTATAGCTCTTAACCGAATTTTTAAGCATTGAACATATCCGCGCAACCATTTTTTTAAATAAATTTTTTGCCAGTACAGTTTTTTTTTCACATTTTTTGGATCACTCCGAACAAAAAGGCTTCCATTAACTTTTCTCTAAAGCTGACCATTTTCGCGTTATAAGCGATTTAATGTCTGAAAAGCACTAAGAATGGGTATACAATGTTTAAAAACGGAGTAAAAAATTATAGCGATTTTTAACCTTGTCTGTAGGACATAATTGACAATTTTTTTGTTTTCGTTGACCATACATCACGTCACTCATTTCTGTTGATCTGTCCGCTAATATTTAGACTGCCTATAACTTAGAAAATGCTGCTCTGATCTAGATGAAATTTTTACACAGGGTTACTACTATGCCTTCAGACGCAAAAGCTTTGTAGTTTTCGAAAATCGGTCCAATGACGGCGGAGCTAGGGATAGAAACACGACAAAAAAAAATGGGTTGAAAATCGGAGGTCGGGAAAGCTATCTCATTTTGTTGGCGGTAGTAGGGATATTTATACGATTCCAACCCCAGTAATTTTACATACGTACAGCATCGCCGGAAGAGATGTATCGTGGCTGGTACTTACATGTTTGACTAGTGTGGTCCAGCAGCGTTGACAGATGGTGGGTATTTAGGGCAGGGAAGAAACTAGCGTTAGCACTAATAAATGGATGGGGACTGTCGAGGATGAACTAATTGTATATGGTCCTATTTGGCTAACTTTATGTACTGATGATAGCGTTGCGTGAGAAATGCAGAGTCAACCTGCTTGTCGCCATTTTTATATTCTTGAGCCATCACCTAGGCGTAAGTCCTAAATACTCGTGGGTTCCCTGGGACAAAATTGTATTGGATGCACTAAATAATTTACAATGAACGTAAACTATGAAAACAGCTGTCATATTCGTGTTTGAATATAACATACTAAAACTGTAGGTATAAATTGGATGACTAGAGGGAAGCAAAATATACAACTCTATTAGATTTATTTGTATCCCTCGAGCAAAAAAGTTTTGAGATAACAGCATCAAAAGAACTTTTGATTATTGTTTTCTAGGTTGCAATCAAAATACTACATATCTTCGTAGAACTAAAATGGATCAATATAGTAAACTGATGGCCCAACGAATCACATACAGTAGAGTTACAAATATTCAAAACACTGACGTACTTGCTAGTTTTTGTTCATAATTCATGAGTTTATCTCGCGTCTTATTGCAAGTAACAAAGTGCAACATTTGAAACTTATTCTGCGGTTTTCATGTCGATAATCCTCGATGTTTGTATGGCCAATGAAACCACATGTATTTAAAATTATTTAATATATACGTTTGAGTCACGACGGTAATGTTCTTCAGTATATGATACTTTTTTGAAATAAATAAAAGATTGCGAACAAGTGCCATGTACTGAAGAATGTCATCCTTGTTATTTTTATATCGAAGCAGCCGCGCAGGCAGAACCTAACTGCCGGAACACCGCGGCTGCTATGATGATGCCAAAGAAATTTTATTAAATCGATTTTTGAACTGCCTAAGGTTAGCAGAACTGGGAAAAGCTTCCTCTTGTAGATTGTTCCACAATCTCGACACGCTCGGGACAAAGGAGCGGTCGTATCGGCCAGTTCTGGATGTACGAAGTTCAACACGGTTAGGATGGGACGCCAAAGTCAGGCGGGTCTGTCTGGCAGGCACATCGCGCGGCGGCATCATGGAAGAGAGCTTCGAGGAGTAGAAGCCCGTCGGTGTAGCGATAGAAAAGAGCTAGATCGCCGACGGCCCGCCGGTGCGAAAGAGTCCCGAGACTGTCTGTTAGAGAAGAGTCATCGATCAGTCGGACCGCCCTCCTCTGGACAGCATCGAGCTTAAATAATGTAGTCGGGACGGCAGTACCCAAAACGGGTGAGCAATACTCGAGACTAGGCGCTAGGACGTCCAAGTACAGTACTGTGTTTTGAAAGATTGTTGCGTCCCCAAGCAGTGATAGCCTTCAGGTCTCTTGTCAGAGAGGAAGTCATCGCTAGTCTTCTTTTTTCCAGCTCTGCGGCAGACATCGGCTTATCACTCTGAATTTCTGCATGTAGAGTGCTGTCATCAGCGAAGCTGTGGATTGGGTTGATCGTGCCGGAAAGGAGGTCGTTGATATGTAAGAGGAACAGGGTCGGACCTAACACCTGAGGAATACCCGCGTTGACGTTGTGGGATGAAGAGGAGATCCCGTCAAGTACGACGGATATCTTGCGGCCAGAGATAAAGTCCGCCACTCATCTGCAACGCTTTTCTGGGAGGCCATAGGATGGAAGTTTGCCTAAGAGGGCAGCGTGCTACAGCTGATCAATCGCTTTCGTGATGTCAAGAGCAACGACATCAGCCTCACCATATGGTTGAGTTTACTCCACAATTGTGTGACGTAAAGTAGGAGGTCCCCAGTGGATCGTAGGTGCCGGAAACCATACTGCCTGTCGCTAACCAAGCTGTGACGTTCGAGGAAGTCCAGAAGCTCGCGTTGTATGCACCACTCCATCACCTTACTTATAACAGAAAGCAGAGCTATAGGCCTGTAGTTGTAAGGGTCGGTCTTTGATCCTTTTTCTGGGATGGGTTGGACATGAGCAAATTTCCAGTTTTCTGGGACGATGCCGGATTCATAAGATGGCCGAAACGTGTACATTAAACAATTTTAAATACATGTGGTAATCATTGGTCATACAAACCTGGGGAATTACCCAGCGCAGTTCAGCTTTACCAGTTTATTAAGTTGAACAATGAATTTGGATACTATATTAGAAGAAAAATGTATATTGGAAACACTACTCCAAACCTGTTATATGATATCGTATTTGTAATGGATTTTTCTGTCTCTTGCTTTCATGGAACATTACATATCCCTGTTTGGTTTTTGATATTTTAAATATTTGTTGGTATTTGACAACAAAATTCACAACTCTTGGAGTAACACGGCGGAGACAGTGTCAGGCTCGGGCCCTTATGCAAATATTTTCCATAAACCGACTCCAACATTCGATGACAAATTTTGTTCCATAAAAAGATATACCTATACCCGCCAAGGCAAAATTTAGCCAGTAGTGAATCGAATGTTACTACATTGATCTTCTAGCCTAGAATCCAAATTCGTCAAAATAGTTCATAGGTTTTCTGAAAAGTATGTTCTATTCCAGAATATTATTCCTGCGTCAGCAAATAAAAGAATTGGAAGAGTTGAAGTCCCAGAACTCGTTCATGTCGGACGATACTTAGTCAAAATGTCACAAGATTTCCTCTAGATCGCTAATACAAAATGTCGGTGGTCAGTGCTGTGGAAATACGCTGACACTTCCGATTTGTTGTTCATCCATTCTAACTTTCATTCATTTATAAGTTTTGACCAGTGTAATTTTACTGTTTCGTAACGACAATGATGAAAGCTGTGCTGGGGGCGGGTAATGTAATTTTACGTCTAACTGTGGTAAAGTTCGTGAGCTTGATAATTGTTTACAAATGTGAAGGCACTTACGCAGTTATTCAACGAAATTAGAGTGGACTTCAAGGTACGAACGGCACCTAAAAGCTCCATGAAGGTGAAGTAAGAGATATTGATACTAAATTGTAAGTAGTGGTTATTAAATAAGTTGTTTCAGGTTTTGGAGTCTAACAACTATATAGATTAGTTTGGGGCTTGATGACCCAGTTGTACAATTCCATTGAAGACCAAAGGCTACTATTGAACCTAACAATCGACTGTTTTAGGTACAATTTGTTGTACAGGTTTTGGATCAGTTTCTCGAACAAAATATATTTGTAAAACGTAAATACACTGAATTATGATTGTGATTATGATTCATGATTGTTTCCTTCATATCTCATTGCACCAAACCTTTCTTTTGAAGTGGTGGATTGGTGTACAGGCAAACTTTTCTTCTACCTAGAAGTAAGTGAGGGCGGTTCAAAACTCAAAATACATTGTTTTTGACATTCTGATACTGATATTGACAATGTTTATTTTATTGAGAAACAGGATAGTTTCACGCAAAACTGAATTGTTTCTTGTACAATAAATAGTGTAAATGTAAAAAATCTATTTTCCGATGCAAAACAATTTTTCAATCAAGATCTTGTTCAAGCAATGAAACCATATCTTGTACAAGAAATTACGTAATCTAAAACAGTCTTACATTTCATACGAAGTAACAAGCATGCATAGTTAAAAGGTACAGGGTGTCCAATGGGAAAGTTCACTTTTTGATTTAAGAAAAAAATGCGAACTTAATGAAAAGAAAATATTTATTACTATCAACATATTCGTAAATTTGGCGGGTTTTATTTCTTAAATATCATTCCGTCCAAATGTTTGCCATCCTTCGGTCACACTCTTTTCTAATCGCGCGCTCAAATTCTGAAAGACTCTCTTGCAGAGTTCCGGAGTGATGTTTATTTCTCTTCGAAGGTTCTCTTTAAGCTTCTCCGGTGTTCGTGGATTATTACAATACACTTTTGACTTTAGATAACCCCACAAAAAATAATCGCATTGTATGAGGTCGGGTGACCTAGGAGGCCGGTGAACTTCGACGTAACTTTTTGAGGAAAAAGTGCTTTCACTGTGTCCATCGATTCTCTGGAAGTATGGGCAGTGGCCCCATCCTGTTGAAACCATGTGTTT